TTGAGTGTTTTCTACAGATGTCGGATAACGTGTTAGTGGTGGTGGCGCACGCGTTACTGGAGCTATAGCTGGAGTCTGTATCCCCGCTGCGTGTTCAGCCGAAAAACCTTCCTCGGTGGAATTTCTCACGGTTGGCCGTGCTTGCTGTAGATCACGCTGAACCTGTCGAATCACTTCAACACTGCGTATCAGTTGAGCTTGTGCTAACCCAATGGATGCCATCATTTCCTGCAGATTATTAGCCTGGTTGAATTCCGATCTATCGTCTCCATTCCCCTGTCGAAATTCTCGCCTTACGTTCTGAGCGGTCAAACTTGAAAATGCTGGAGAAAGTATAGTATTATTCAGTTCATCCGGACTGATCGATGCATCGCTGCCAATCGACGGAGCGCTTGACGATCTGACAATGCCTCCCGTTCCAGTGTTGGTTTGCAAAGTTGGTGGGTTGGTCGTAGGAACTTGAGTTTGCGTGTTCTGTGCCCCTACCCTTGGCTCGGAATTAACTGCTTCTTCGTTGTTTTCCATATTATTTTGCTGTAGCTTACTCCCACTTCTAGTCAAAACCATTCCAAAATTTATAGAAAACTAATAACAGTGTTCCTAAGAAATATTAAAAACAAAAACTAAAAATCACGAAAACATATATACTAGTAGTAATGCTTCTACTTCTGTCGAAGTAGGAAAATAATGATATATTAAATAATATCAAAAAGTCTTTCAATATAAAATAAGGTAGGATTTTAGGTGACGGCCATTAGAAGAGTAGATGTTACTTTCAGATTTAAAAGAAAGAAGGTAAACAAAATAATTACCTCCTGCAATCCTGTGCTTTAACTTTTTATACTGTGGATATGGAAAATGTGGTTTAACAACCTAGTGACATCGAAAGAAATCTCGTTGACTATACTATGAGTGCTTCTGTCTAAGAATTGACTCCGGACAACAAAATTCCTTTCGAATACAAAATGATTGTTAAAAATTACTATTGCAATGAAAAACTAATTGGATGTGACCCAAAAACTCCACACAATCGTGGCAATTAAATGCGTTGTGTTACTAACACTGGCGATAAGACCTACGATTATATGTAGCATAAAGGTTTGGTGATTCAATATTAAATCTCCACCTCACGACCCCGATTTAGAAAACTTTAGGTCGGGACTGAGATTTTAACATTGGACCGTGATATTGAAAATGAAGAAATATCGTTCAAAATGTATACTATTTAATCCTAGTGGCAGCCGTGAGGACTCTATGAGCTACTCAAACGGGACCTACTTCCTTTAAATAATATATGGCTACAATTATATTTTGCTTTCATCTCGGGCCCCACGTTATGGGCGCCATTTTTGTCACGTACTACCGTCAGTTGATTTCACATAATTTATATTTTCTAGCAAACATCGTCATTGCTGGCATGCTGGCTTTTTGCACGGCTAGTGCTCGCCGGATGGGGGTGGTTCTTGACGACATTGACTAGGTTGGCAATACGTTGAACAAAAAAAAATTATCATGCCAGACTGATCAAAATTTAAAAAAAAGGTATTCCGAGCCCGAGAGAAATAGTAAACTATTAATGACTTTTACCACAGCATAAATAAGAAAAAGCAACCAGTTATATGGGAAAAAAATCATGAAAGTACTCGGCAGGTGTTAAACCGAGCTCTTCCCTCCCACTGGAACACTTGTTCCACCTTGGCAATCAAAACATGTTCATATTGTCCCCATACCTACCTCTTCTTTGGCACGTCACCCTCCTAACCTTCAATTAAATTTCCTTATGGAGAAGACATTTTAATTCATATCCATCGTTATAATTTTATTTTTAATTCAAGTTTCTTAATTTTAAATACCATAAATCGTGGATCATTTTAACTTTGAGATTCACATGGTTAAAAAGGTTTTTACTAGTGCAATGAGTTTTTACTAGTGTAAAATATTCGAAAATCGTAAGTATTATAATTTTGAGCGTTGTACATAATAACGAAACTTAGGTAAGTACCACTTTTGGGGATTTATTTAATAAATTTAATGTAAGATGGCTGCTCTTCTTTTTTTTTCCAGGGATGCTGAACAGAGGTCCTATGATAGCGGTGTTTGCTGGCAATTGAGCTTATTATCGTCAGTTAATATCGTAAGTATGGGTGTTGTATTTTTGTTTTATAGTTCAAACCCTGAATAAAAAGTTTTCTTCTATTTTAAGTGGAGTAAAAACAAAGGGACAACATTAAGCTTTTGTGAATGGGAGCAACTAACTCCTGGTGATAAATTACCTGTCCTACCTGCCTAGAGAGAGCTCTATCTATTCGGAGAGGATATGAGAATAAAAAATTCGAATAATAAAGAAAACAAAAGGAAATGTCTACCCTTAAGGCCACGTGTTTTCTATACCCTTTTATTCCAGGTTTCTGGGCTGTCCGTCCGTCGAAAGTAATTATCAATAAGTTTGGAGGTAAGTAATGAGTTAAAGTCAATAGCTCGTTTTACACCATATCAGTTTTATATTCTTTTATTTTTAGGTACCTCAGCACCGCGGAATGCCTGGTGCTCAACAGCGGATCCAACGAGGAGCAGAGGAGTCGGGATCGGTGGTCCAAATATCGTTAGCGATGCTGGCAAAAGTGTTTGGTGCTGTATTACTTCCTTTTGTTCAACAGTTATTGAGGTTTTTTTTTTTAAATGCAATAAAGGCAATGAATAGTTTTAAAATTTTGTTTTGTGATATGCGGGTATTATTACACCGATTGTATTTAACGTTGGTAAAAACTTTTACTATTTTCTTATTGCCCGATCCACTTCCTGCTGCCAAGAACTCCAGAAATAAAAAGAAAGAACCTTGAAAATTTTACATGGCTTATTGTCTCCCTATTTCCAATATGTTTTCCACATTTAAAATTTCCCTTTTTGAAATGACAGGATAAACAAACCATATGTCACTTGGTGTGACAGACAAAATTATATGAGTTTCTGTATGTGGCGTATAGATGGCGTGAGTACGCACATGACACTAATCTTGTATTATTGTACCCATGGCACCATGGTATAATAATAGAAGGTAACAGCAAGTGTTTTTGTACAAAAAACGATACAACAACCACATAGAAATTTGTTGTTGTAAGTTCTACTAGTGTCAACTCATTTGACAGAAAAATGTAAACAAACAAATTATCATCAAATTATTTTTATTTTGAAAATGAAATATTTTCGAATCCTCAAAATAAAAATTGAAAAACATGAATGAAAATCTATCAAATTTATATTTCTATCTATTCCACATCTTTCCTATAAGTCAGTAGTCACACGGCAAATTTTGTGGTAAAGTAAATTGAGTTTATTGGCGAAAGAGGTGAGAGGAATAAAAGGGGGTACATACATACTTGTACTCCGCAATTCTCTTTTGTTTCGTTATTCGCTGTAAACAACTGAAGTTGGCTGCAGAAAAGTTTTGCATTTTCTTTCATTTTATGTTTTCTGTCGGCAAACAAACGCCACGGCAGTTAATAAAATTAAAACCTTTTGCGAGGAAAAAAACACATAATATGTCTGTCTGGGTTATTTGCGTGTCTAAAAAACAATGCAATTTTTAAAGAAATTGAGAAGAAAATTTGTCATGAAATTTTGCACGTGTGACTACTGACTAATTGAGCCATTGCCATATATATGTGTAACACATATGAAAATGCTGGGTATAGCGAGTTATTCCTTGAAGAAAGATTTGCTTCCTCAAACTTTCCCAGTAGGCAGATTGAGTAAATTGAATACAGGAGCACATTTAATAAAGAACAATTTTAAATTGTATGCGTTCCCAATTTTCCTGCTGGGTGATTTTTAAAAACATAATTTGTCAAATTCATATTGACACTAGTATTGCATTGGAATCAAATCAGCTGGGATTTGCTGTTACTTTTTATAATTGTACCATGCCATGGCACAATGAATAGGTAGTCCATTTAGAACAGCTGATGGCTTGATTAGCTGTCAAAGTGTGTAATTTCTACTTGAATTGGATGTGCAATGCTCCCAAGTTTTTGAAATATTATATGGAAAAATTTGACAGATAATCGAGACAAAAACAAAGTTTTTTGTTTTGATACATCACCTTATTGTTGCATCATGATTGTACCATTCGCTTCTTACACGACCTGTTTAATGGTACGTATACATTGAAAAGGAACAAAACGACCAAGGTATATTTAATAAGGTAGCCGCATCGGCCCAGCTGTTGGACAAATAAATGTCAAAAATGTTGTTGTAATGTTGAACCAAAAAATTAAAAAACAAAATTATGAATGAAAATCTCCGAATTTCGAAGAGCTTTTTTGGCAATACTTTTATTAACATTTTCTACAAGAATTTGTGTAAAAAAATTTTGTCAATCTGTTTGTTTTGGCAAAATATTTTTGACATATCAAAATACAACAACCGATGTTTGTTGTAGAAATTCGCCGATGCGGAGTGGGAAACGTTCCGATCGTTCGTTTTACGAGGTAGTTCCTTTGAACCAGATGCGGCAATTTTTATTTGGTGCAAAAAAGAGCGAATTTTGCAAAAAATAGAAAGTCGCGTATATAATAAGAATAAAGTGTAATCGATTTGCATTGTTCATCGTCGTATTAACGTCTACATTACTTTATGTTTTTCCTCGTTTAAAGAGCATTTTTTTACATTTCTAAGGACGTCAATCTTTGCAACAAAAATTGATGTTCTTGTAATCGCCTTCCAATTGCTTTGTTAATTCCTTGCATACACTTACATTGTCCTGGCATATATTTTGTATATTTTGGGACGCTGTTAGGAGAAGTATAAAAATAAGTGTGGCGTATGTTGACTGCGCTTTTGGCAATAAGTGCAGTTTTAAGACAAACACTAAAAACAACTGAAAGGCGTGGCATTGAAATTCCTGCAAAAAATATAAAAGGGTCGGAATTGGTCAAGCTAAATACTGCATATTGGCTTTTTGCACATAAACACAATTCAGTGGACCAGCTTAGCAGCATCAACATAGCCATGAGTACCGGCCAGCAAAGTCCACCTACTGCGGAATGTGCTGAAGGTGGTCTAAATAATAGCACATCTATAATGTAAGACTATTAATTAGCATTGCAACAGCCTGTAATAATTGTTGTGCATATCTCTCTATTCTTCATTCCAGATCATTTAAGCCGGGAGACAAACACTGTTGTCATGACATCAGTACCAAAAATGTTAAAATTGTTGCAAATCCCGGTTTGCATGACCACGGTTCCTCCAAAGTAAAATTGAAAAATTTCGTAGATTACAAATGGGAAGTGAAGAATTATCCAGGTCACTTGATTGCAGTTCACCTCGACGGGAAATATATAGCATATGTTATATACGGTAAGCTAGGTTTTCTTTATATCAAATGAATAGTTGATATAATTTTAGTTGGGGGAAACCCCCATCTATTGTGTTGCTACATAATGGCAAAAAACATCAAGGGATCTGAAATACTATTGGAATTGCTATTTATAGTTTTTATATCATTAATTGATTAAATTTGATTTAATATTTGATTAAAATTCAGTTTAAATAAACATTTCGCTAGGATTCTATAAATTGAAATTCTTCGTAGACAGCAGGCCTTCGGCCGGGAAATTAAGACTTTCTACTTTAAACAGGTGTAGAATTCGGATATGCGATCAACATTTTATTTTTTAACATGATTTTCTTCACAGCCTTCATCTGTTTATAAATGGCAAAAATATAAACATATGAGGACTATATCTGGAAGTTACCCATAAAAATCGTATATTTTCGTAATCAGAGAATCCGTCATAAGTTCCTAATATCAACAAAAACCAACTAATTTTCGCATTGCACTTAGAACTATATATATGTGATGAATATATTCCAAATTGTTCTTTCTATCATTTTCAGTTAACAATAAAGTTTCTCGCATGGAAGGTATGGTCCGAGTTGTGAATACCGCTAAAGGATTAAGGGCTTTAATTAAAGGAATGACTGGTGAAGTCTTAGATTTACAATTTGCCCACATTGAAAAGGAGCATATTCTTGCTTCTATTGACGCCAGCGCATTGTATGTTCATAAAATCGATTTACTGGAGGGGTCATTATTGTGCAATTTAGTAGTAAAGATTGAAGACCCATTATCGAATTATTCCCCTAAATATGATAAAATATCTTGGTGTCCATTCATTGAAGTGGCTGTCGATGACGACGAGGATAGCCAATTGCTGGTTTGGGCTCGTGGCTCCGTATTTCAATGCTTCAATATAAACATTATCGTTGCTGAACATGGGGTATGTTGATAGATATTCTAGGACATTTATGAATGATTCGCTGTGTTCTAATTGTGTTTACTTGCAGTTTGGAAAACTCCAATCGAAAGATTTGAAATCCGGTTATTTGAAACATTCTGATGAAACTATTACAATAACCTGGGTGGCATTGTCCCCGGATGGATCAACGCTGGGTGTTGGCAGCACAGACGGTGTTATAAGATTCTACCAGGTGTATATACATGACAAGGACCCGAGGTGCTTACACGCTTGGAAACCACATAATGGGAAACCGGTATCGTCGTTCTTTTTCTTAGACAATTTAACAAAAAATAATGCAGCGTAAGTTATAGCTTTGGTAAGTTTAAATATTTTCTATGATTGGTTGGTTATTTATAGGCCATATTGGAAGTTTGCAATTACCGGTGCAGAAAACAACACCGAATTCAAAGTATGGGATTGCGGTACTTGGGATTGCCTGCAGACCATCAACATAGGAAGTTCGACAGGAAAACCATTAAATTTCATTGCCGAGATAGATCGTACAGCGTCGTACTTGGTCCTATCCAACTACGATACACGTTCTTGCTACGTCATGCAAATAATAAATGCAAACAATTTAATATCTGCTCTTAATGGGAATGTAATGAGTGGTGAAAGTTCAATAAACAAGGATAATAGCAGTAATAGTCTCGCTTCGGCATCGTCCAATTCAAATTGCCGAAGTGCTGAAGGCGGTGCAGTTGCTACATCTTCCAATGTCTATGTGAAGAGCATTTCCGAATTTCCCCTGAGTTCTGGAATTTTGTCGTTTTCTATTGTTGATGCCGCTGTTCGTCGCTACAAATGTGCTAATGATAACTACATGTGCGACGAATTGGATGACTATGACGAGGACACATCGTCCTTATATTGTGTTGTGGTTCACATGTATATTGTGCAGTCCAAAAGTATGCAAGAGTGTCACATTTTATACCAACCTCCTGTGCAGGAAAATACTGAAATAAAAAGTACAATATCTAGTGAAGGATCTGCACAAAAGAGAGAACAGGATAACAAAAATCTCAACAATGATAGTGATGAGAGCGAACATATCGATAATGAAAGCGTACACCCTGACGACACAGGGAAATCAGACGAAATGGGCAATGTCAAGAATGTCCATTTGAAAACAAAAGATGACACCGCTTCTTCGAATGAGAAGAATGCATTGGAACTATTATTGGGCATAACAAATATATCGAACAGCAGCGTCAGCAGCAATAGTCACGCTAACTTGGTTTCAAATACTAGTGGCTCGAACGTCGTTTCTGTGGCAGCAGCTGCAGCGGCAGCCCCCAGTGTCATAGCAACAGAAAATATTGCCGATTCTCGAAATCCATCACCTAATGTATCAGCAAATGTTCCGACTAAAACCTATCCCCAGGTCAATTTAATGACCCCGGATGCTTTTACATCATCGTCGTCTACAAACGGTACAGACATGTTTTTTAGTAGAAAAATGAAGAATTCTTATTTTAATTTCTCTTCTAGAGCGAAAAACTCCCGAAAATGTAAGCAGTGAAGTTCTTAATACAATTTTAATGTTAGCCGCTGTAACTGGACAAAATCCTGCGGCTCCCCCGAAACCAGAAAATATGAATTTATTAAATCTGGTTAATAGCAGTTTGATAGAAGGCCAGGAACAACAAAAAGTTCAAATGAAGCGAGATATGGAATATCAGGAAAAGTTTAGAGGTAGGGCATGCTTAAAAAATATCTGACAAAAAGATGGACCGAATGTAATTTAAATTTGTTTCGCAAAGCTATTGATAGAAATCCAGGACGCAGCATTGGCGAAAATTTGACCAGTGGAGGTTCAAGTCCTAGTCGTGAGGTGCAGGAAATAATGTCATTACAGGACTATGATAAAAGCTCTTTCAGTGGGGATGAACTTTTGGAGGGCAACAATGAAAACGACAATGTAAATGAAACGGATGTTGCTGATACAGAAGAAACCAATGTCGAGGAAATGCAAGGTGAATAGTGCTACAGTGTAGGTAGATAATGTCATTTTAGAAATGTTCTTTATGCTTATATAGATAAGGAGATGCCAACTTCAAGTGCTAAAACGAATTGGCCAAAGGTGCCAGATGTGCCCAAAGTAACCACAAATAAACATTCTGCAGAACTCCAAAATGCTGCAAATTTAATATCACAAGCAGTCAACGCATCATCTATGTCGAATCTGAGTAGCAGCCATATAGCGCCAACCCTAGGAACCACTTCTTGCAGCAATATAATGGCCAACGATAATGTCGACAATGTCGGAGGAACAGATTTAGGAGAAATTAATATGAAAATGAATGAACTAATTGGTATGTTAAAACAAAATAATATATTCTATGCGCATCATTGTCATTTTACAACTAAACATCTCTAGATTTGGTAAAAATGCAGTCGGTTCAAATTAATAATCTTCAGATGGAAATTGCCGATATGAAGAAGACAGGTCCTGCAATTGCTCAAAAAAATATGACCGAACTTGGCTTTAAGGTGGAAATGCAATTGTCCAAAATGATGGAAACATATTTAATGCGGTACGAAACTGAACATAATCGGAAACTATCCACGTTTCTAATGGGACGGTAAGTAAAAAAAAGAAAATGTTTTGCAGAAACTATTTATTTATCACATGTCTTCTCAGTGATGTTCAAAATCGCGAATTGCGCGACAGTATCATGCAGATTATGAACCAGTATGTCCTCACCCAATTCGGAGAAATGATCTCCAAGGTGTTGTCCATAGAAATTCAACGGCAGCTAGCTCCAATATTGGCAGCGAAAATGGACAATTTGCAACAGCAAATCCAGTTGGATGCGGCACAGAAATTGAAGTCGTTCGATATGATGATTAAAGAAAATATAGCACAGGCTTGCAAGAGCAAAGTAAGTTCTTCGAGGGTGATTCGCTCCCTGCCATGGAAATAGTGCTAATAATATAATATTTCGCTTTATTACAGAGTATTATTGATGCGTTTGGCAAATCAGTATTAGTCGGTGTACAAAGCAGTCTGCAAGCTGCGTTTGTCGAGTCAATGTCCAGTACATTGATTCCAGCCTATGAGAAATCTTCGCAGAATATGTTCAAGCAATTACACGAAGCATTCTCCGTGGGAATTAAAGAATGTAGGTGACGCTACCATAACAGTTATAATTGTAAATGTTTAATTTTCGTTTATTTGTGTAGTCATGGAACAGTTCGATACATACTTGCAACAACTACAACCAATGCATGATACAACCGAGGAAATTATTAACAAATTTTCAACTTTCCGACAACATTTGGACTCAATCCTCATCAAACATAGAAATAGTGTTCAGGAAGCAATGTTGGACACTCGCAAAGACATGAAGAGTATGCAATTGTTGTTAACACGTCAAATTCAGGAAAATATTCGAACCGAGGTATTGACGTTGTATGTGGCAGCACATACTCGACGTGCACTAATTTGTTTGATCTTTTTCGCAGATACGCAAATCATTTGAAAGCCAAGCTGCAGTAATTCGTTCGCAAGCGAATACACCCGCACCTATGTATGACATGAAGGAGACAATTAAACACCTTTTACTTCAAGGTCAAATCAACAAGGCCTTCAATCAAGCATTGCTGGGTAATGACTTGAGTCTGGTGGAGTATACCTTGAAGTGTGCCGATCACAATGCCGTCTTTACACCTGACTGCTGCCTAGAGCAAAAAGTGTTGTTATCTCTGATCCAACAGATTTCGGCAGACATGAGTAACCACAATGAAGTCAAACAAAAGTTCGTAGCCAAGCGAAAACGACCGTTATCTCAAACGCTAATTAATATTGATTTTCTGATTTTTTTAGTTATTTGGCAGAAGCGCTGTTGGCGATCAATCCCCATGACCCAATTACCAGGGAACATGCACCAAAAGTATTGCAAGAGTTATTCCGTAATTGCCAAATGTTCTTGATAAATTATCCGAAAAGTCCACAATGCAGCAACGTCCGAATGTTGATGAAGGCTGTTCAGGCATTCAAAGATCAATTCTAACCAAGATCTTTCTTCGGCCGACACAATCCTCCAAATCTCAGTAATACAAACACCCTGTCTAACTAATCATGGCTTTAGACATTTGTGAAGAATGTAATTCTTCTTATAAATGGTATGACCCTATATTGTATACATTACAAATCTTGTAGCGTTTCTAACATTCGCTATTTGATCTCTTATTCTAGTGCATTGTGTTAATCTCAGTACCTCCCAATTCCCTTCGCCCTTATCTTCCTCGACCATCATTTGTGTAATGTAATTCTTTAAAACGTTTTGTGGCCGATCATTTATGTTGACAACTTCTGCAAATCCTTGATGAATGAATATGTGCAAGACTTATAAAGCAATTTTTTGTGAACGCGGACATTCTATTAAATTAACTTTTTCTAATGTAATAATAATAAGTGTTTGTGGCGTAATTTATAGGATAAGTAAAAACACCATGGATGACGCTTGCAGGCAGACTTTTTAATACGACTGACTACCGTTTTTATATTAAAGAAATTATAATAGAATGAAATCGAATGTGGTTTTTTCTTTTTTAACATTATTTTATATATTTACATCATTTAAGTCTCTCGTAAATTTAATTTCCATATACATACAAAATAAATACAAAAATGTTCAAAAATATCTCATTTGTGTAAAAAGTGTATCAATAATGGCGGAAAAAAATTTATAAAATGCTTAAATTCCATGAAGTCTGTCTATTACTCAAAGTAAAAAAACCAAATATTTTTGAAATTTTTATTTTATCTAATTACGGAGTTACCTCGTTTCTTTTCTAGTTGCGACACAGCTGTATTTTTTAAAAAACATAATAGTGTACGCATCTTACCAGTGATTGAAAGCCGAAAATTTGGTGCCACAGTTAAGTAAGATTATAACAAACTGGTAGGACCCAGCAAATTAGTTCGTTATATTCATGGTAAGGCAAAACATAGGCTTAGCTTAACTGGTAGATTTGGTGTACTCTTTGATAATACTTAAGCTGTTTCTATTTTGTGTTTCAGGTTTGGGTAAAATTAAATTTTATGAGGATTGTCTTCGTTTAGTATTACGTGTATTAGTTTGCAAGTTCGTTATAACCAAATTAATATATATGAAAAAAAACTATGAAAAGTTCGCTATAAGAGTAAACATTGGTATGAAAGGAATCATATGACATCTAAAGAAAGCTAATCTGAGTTTTACGCCTATTTAGGAAAAAAGATAATTTTGGTAGTTGTTTTGATAATTTTGGTACTTTTTTGGTAGTTGTTTTGAATAATAGTTCAAAAACCAACAGGTGTTATTATGGTATGACACATTCGATGCTTTGAAAGTATACCAGAAGATATAATAATAAATAGAAAACTACTTTACAGCATTTCATTGTTTGCATGGGTTGTTTTCTTCATATTTGTGGTATGGACATTGGTTCCAAACGAGCTATGACATTCCGATAATCCATAATATAGTAATAAGTCTTGAAACACTCGGTCTTCATATTTTATTTGTTATTTATAAACAATTCAATTGTATTAATATATGACATTTTTTCATTTAACATATTCCAAAAGAAAGGCAGTTTCTTGTAGACACTGACAACCACAACCAGATGCACATACATTGTGTTTCTTTAAAAATTAAAAAAAAAACATCATTATCAAATTATGTTTATCGCATTATTTTGTAATACATACTTCAAACCATTGCTTCATATGCATAAAATGGCCACCGTGACCACATGATAGACAAGCATTGGCAGCTCCCTTAACTGGTATTCTACATAGGGTACAAAATAGAACGGGACGCTGACAAGGTCCACAGGCCGGGGTGCGTTTTGTTTTGTTGCATCCGGAACATTCAGTCACAAATTCAACCCCTTGTCGAGGACATTTCAACAGCACCGTGTGCTTCAGGATCTAGATAATGTATGTTTAGGACAAGGAAATCGAAAAAAAAAACAAATTTACTTACCAATGATCGCGTCGTTAACAATTGCCAGCCATAAAGAATTTCGGCATACAATTTCTTGAAATGATCAAACAGTGGTATTTTCGATCGCCTTATTAGTGACGAGGCCCACAATTCACTATTTGAGAATTTGCCATCGACACAGTCTAATGAATCCGACCACGAATTACTGCGCAACTGGATGGAGTTGGAGGCATTCTTGTTGGCATTTGAAGCATGAGAATCAATAGGAAGAACAGTATGATATGGCGATGTATTGGACGTAAGAATGGGTATTTTGCAGTGACCATGCACATTGCCACTTGGCACGCCATTATTACCAGCGATACCAATTTGTCCATTTGTTCCTCCGGGATGAAACAAGCATGCCAGTATAACGGATGTTTGTAGATCGCCTGCCGCCGCATAGTGCATTATAAGTGATTCCAAGAGAGCTTTCTTAAAAGGATCCTCATTGAGGACCATTTTACTCAGCTTTGTCCCACTCAATGGCACATTAGGCGTTGCAATCATTTCGGCCATTGTCCAAATGGGCAGAAGATCATAGCGTCCCTCATTCTCACAAACAAGGCGGTTCTTGCGACATGTCGCAATTATATCTGTTTTGTCTAGGGAGTACTCTGAGGCCATTGCTCGACTGATATTAAGCAATTTATTGCATTCATAGATTTGAACTATAGCCGTCGAATGATTGGCTTTTTGGATTGAACGATTCTTTGAGTGCTTTGAACTCATACGATCCTGAAGATAGAATGAGGCATTCGAATCACGATGTGCGTACAACATTGGTTGTTCACCCATGACATTACCCAACAGGCCACCTCCATTGGTGGCCCACAGTGTTCGTGGCGTAATATTTTGATGGCGAAGCGTTAGTCTTTTTGTATTGAGCGTTTGTGTGAAGCTGCATAACATTCCCACTGCATTAAAGGTGGCTGCTGATGTCCGGGGAAAGGGTATGCAAGCATCGTGTAGAGCTCCACTCAAAGCTCCTTCTAAACGAGGAGATTGCAAACGCACATGCGATTTCTCCGATCCTCCGCCTGACTGAAAGGAATACATGATTTTGTCGTTATATTTACGTATATTTCAAAATATATTACCTTCTTCATTGCAGCTACTAAGGCCCTAAGGCACTGCTCTAGGCATGTACGCGATTTTTTAACTCGTTGCAATGCATTCGTTCTAAGAACTTTCAGCATCAGCCTTGACAGATGTTCGTGCATTGTTGTACCTTCACAAAATTCAAACTCTGGACTGTTATTCGGACTGGGGTAATCCGTTGGAAATGTTATTTGTAGGACAGCCATGTGCCCACCTGCAGAAATGTTAAACATTGCAAAGCGTTTTATAGCATCAAGGGTATCCACCTCCACGTGAGGCATATTTGTGTTTAGCAGAGAGAATTCGTGATGAAGTGAACATGTAGGCTGGTCAGTCAACGATCGGGCAACTGCTGTTTCCTCTCTATATCTGTGTGTAGACGAGCGTGAAGATGTCGCCATTAGTGTTGGTGATCTCGATATGATTGTGTTGTGTACGATTTCTGCCGTTTCTACTGGCAGCGACACAGCAACTGGTTGTGATCGGAACACCGGTACTCTTTGGAAGGAAGAACAATAAGGAGGTTGGAATTTAGTCGGCGTACCGACACGAGATTGTGTGTTAAGGTCGTAATTTTCATTGGAATCATTTTCAGGTTCACAATGTTTTAACATTTTATCATCAATTTTCCATACTCGCAATGTCCGATCCCGTGACCATGTTACTAATTCCTGAAACAATTTAATTCTAATAATCCCAATTCGCATTAAATTCAAGGAAAAAAACATTACAATTTCCATTTGACTTTCACGATTTGGACGCCATGCAAAGTCCAATATAACATCAGTGTGGCCAACAAAGGAACAAACGGGATCGTTTTGTTTGCTGTTACTCCACAATAGAAGGCTATTGTCACCTCGGCCCAAATGAGGCACAACAATGCTGACAAGTCCATTGCCAATAGGCTGAAAAGTATTTGCAACATAAAACGTGGACATATATATTTCCCACTTAAACGTCTTACCGTGTACCTAGCTCTCCATACCGGTGATGTTGTAGTTATTATTTTTTCTGCTCTTCGTGGATTGTTTATGTCGAAATACTTAACAGTACCATCTTGACTTGCTGTAGCCAAACATGTTTCTCTTCGATGGCTCCAATTAATACCATGAACCCTAAATATTGAAAAGAAGACAATTTTAAATCATTTTTGGGTACCCAGTAATGCAATACAAACGATATACCGATTTTGATGAGCGGTAATGTAATGTATGGGACATGAACCCTTCCGAATATCCCAAATTCGTAAATCACCATCGTGGGCAGCCGCTAACAAATTTCCCGAGACCCTATTGAAGCCAACTTGTGTAGCACCAGCTTTTATATGTGTTTATTTAAATATCGGAATATCGGGATGGATATATGTATTGTCATTTATATTATAAAGTAACTTATAATCTGAAGAAGCTTTTATCTCAATGTGTACTTACACATGCACACAGCACTAAAAGACAACGTTGGCTTTCTGGAATCCCGTAAATCCCAAATGTGGGAAAATGTATCAATAGAACAACTTACGAGCAGGTTCGCATTTTTACCATGCCAATCGATATCGGTCACCATGCGTGTATGACCTCGTAGGGAATGGATATATCTGGGTTCGGCAGCACCCCAAGTTACTACATCTATGTGCTGACTGGTCTATTAATGGAAAATTACATCAATTCAAATATGTTTTTTCCAGGGCGTTAACATTTTACCGCTATGGCACAAGATTCCTTGCTTTCGGGACATATTGCGAATTCTGCAGCAGATACTTCATATTTAGAGTTTGTATTGTATTTCCTTAAACAAACTTCATCGTCATCTTCACCGAGACGTTGTAGAGCCAGATGACGTCTTCCTGCTAAAAGTATCCATTGCCCTGTGTAGTCGACCGTCATTGCAGTGGCCTGCGACTCCCGATGTTCATACACCCTATCACTTTGTCGGATATAGTTGGATTGTTCATTACCGCCACCGCGGTCTGGAGCTCGCAGCGTTTCATTGCTCGGCATCAGGTATTATTATATTATATTGGATGCAAGTTAGGATGTTAGTATCTTGACAATATGTTGATAAACACTCTGGACTGGACTTACAAAGAAGCTCACATCTAACACAATATATATAAGGAGATATATATATTACATATATATGCCAAACAACTAACTACTGGGTCCGTCAAACAAATTATTGCCGCCGTTTCTTAAAGTTTTGACGGCGTTGCGGAATTGAACGAAAAAGCTTTAAAATGTAACAGATAAAGCCAGAATCAAAACAAACAAGGATTAGGCTTAGTCTTTCTTAGGTCGAAAATCGGACGAATCGGGGAATCAAAACAAATAAATTCTTTGAAATGAGTCAAACGAAACTATTTCTCTACGAATCAAAGGTGACAGAAAGGTGAGAGAACGGAAGAAGCACCCGTGCGGAAACCAAGTATCACCATAAGCTGCACTTGATATAGGGAGACAACAGCTGCGATATAGGGAGACAACAGCAAATGTATTATGTAGAACGAAATTAAAACAAAATAAAATGCACATCGGCCGACTGCTTGTGTTGTGTAGAAAGATACTTGGAAGAAAAGAAAATCAACTGTTAATAGGTGTGTCTGGTTACTTTTCCAGCAACATTTACTCAGTAATTTATTTGGTATGTTCCCCGGGAACATTTAGGCTTCCTGTATCAATACATTGCCCTCTTTCTGGAATTTGCCTAAAAATATAAAGAACTAGTTTCTAATTTAATGAAACTTTGCATTACTTACGAATTTTCTTCCACTTTCTGTAATTTTTATACAACATAACATGAAATTGAACTTTGTAAGTTAAAAAAGTGTTTTGAATAATTTTTGTGTTTGGATGAGTTTGAAAAATCTTACTGCATAAAATTTTTTCAGTAAACTCCAGGGGGGTTACTCTGTATTGCGTTGCGAAAGCAAGTGCGATGCGAAAGCTAAATGCGTGAGGAGTACAATTTGGTACTCTGTAACGTTCACGCAAACGCATTCGCAAACAAAATTGAAAATATGGCAACACTGTCGCCACAAAGTCAACAATAACGAAGAATGACAAAAGGAAACGTCAAAAAATTGTTAATGAAAACATATTGTTACGTTCTTGGACTTTACTTAATCCCGTGTAGACGTTGTTTTATTTCCCGATACAGTTCGTACCAAATAAAACGCGGGTTCTTTCTGATTACGATTATTATAATGAGTTTATTGACACAACTTTACTTTGCACGTTACTTTACAGTTTTACGTTACTTGACGGTTTCAATTCGCGATCTGATTCACAACTGACTCACTGCCTTTCCATTTCCCCTATTTATATGAGCCTTGCTTGTAGCTACAGAAGTTTCTAGACGATCTGGTAACACCTAGATCACGAACAATCTACCAATGCAACAAACACACATACAAACTTACATTGAGTAAACAATAACAACAACACATACAAATTTACATTGAGCAAACAATAACAACAACACATACAAACTTACATTGAGTAAACAATAACAACAACACATATACAGGTGAGGGGGTAACAAAGAAAGAGGAATTAAGCGATCATCAATGATGACGTTTAACAAGAATTGTACGTCAATAACAAAATAGAAAATAAAAGAGGAAATGGAAGGATGTAGAAAAATCTATACAGTAGTTGTTGTTGTGAAGTTATTCAAATAAACTGCGTAGTAGAAATTTACGTTACAATTCAAATTCTTAAATTAACGGAATTCATCTAAAGTAACTTAAATCTAAATTTATATTCGTAACAATATTTTTGTGTGGTACGAGTGTTTTTTTTTAAACCAAAATGATGAACGAATTAAAAAAAAAATATGAGATCTATCAAATATACTCTCCCTAAGTGACCACGGGTATGAAAATATAAGTTCGAATTATGTGACAAATGTTTTCAAATATTTAATTTTTATAGATTTATATAAAATGTCTCAATAAAGATTCGTTTATGTATTTTTTAAACGCTCGTCGTTTCAAATAGATCCACAACAATTCCAACTCCAATAAAAGAGGCCGCTGCTTTGAAATTGCTTGGACAAGGTGGTTATCAACACCAACCTATAAATAGGCACACATAGTTTCACATTTTATATAAAAAAATAATATATTACTTTTTCCAACCACCGACATCTTTTACAGGAGGTCAATTTGAATTGAGGTCATCAGACAGTTTTGTCCACAAATTGTTGGCGCGCTGTTTCGCATTTGAACTCTGCAACTGTCCCTTTGCCAAATCACTGTGTTGCCCCATAAAATCTACTGAAGTTAGGAACTGACGTTGCTGAGTCTGTAACTGTGACTTTTTTGCCTTTTACTTAAAATAATTTACAATTTATATATAAATAAAACCTTTAATGGAGCTTACTTATATGTTTCGCTTCCTTTGCGTTTGCTATTTTGTTAACGCAAGATATTTGCGCTTAACGAACGAGTTTGACATGCGTTTTCGTATTACAGAGTGCGGTGATGCCACATTTGCGTAAAGTAAATGCGAAAGGAGATACGAAAACGAATTAGAGAGTACCAATTACGCGATGCGTTACAATTTTTCTCACGCATCGCAATACAGAGTAGCCCCCCAGTACGTTTGTTGTTGTTGAACTGTCAAACTTGCTCTCTCACTCGACTCTCTTTTACTAGATTTTTGGGTAAACAGACAACATTTAGTAACAATTGTTACCAAATATCGAGTTAACAGACACAGCTAATATTTCAAAATTCGTAGAGTGAACGACCGGAAGTATTTTTGGGTTGAAAATTGCTAACTATTTTTTGATAGGCAAGATTTAGGTATTATAGATGAACTCGGCGCGCTTCGCAGTACCTGCAGAATTATTCAGCTAAAAATTTCATGTACATTAGGATGTCAGAATATATGAAAAGTTGTTATGGACTTTACCTTTTAATAAAATTTTGATAGTAACTTTAAAATATTTATTGCAATGCTTTAGGGTATACAATGTTTTTAGTTTTCCCTTCAGAAGAGTACACAAATAAACCGGTAGATCTCCCTACGAGCATGCCACGTAAAGTTGACCATGGGAAAAGCACGGATTTGCTAAATTTTTCCGCATACTTGTAGGGTTCGCCCTTGAGCTTTATTTATCGTCATGGCGAATGCTAAACGAATGGGAAACTGTAATGTTTTAAAATGAAAGGGTATTTCTGTTGTTATTAGGGGAATTCGGGGCAGAAATACATCGCTATTACAAGGGAATACATGATACAAGGCTTGCAGTATGGTATAGTCGCTTTTTTAAACTGAATTTTAAACTGAAATTTTAGAATAACTGGAACATGTTCTATAGTTTGCTGTTCTCAATGAAATAAGATATCAATGATCTGATTAATTTATTTAAATCACATTGAGAACCAGTACCAAAAATTAAATTTTTCACGAAATTTACTTTTTTCGGTTGAAGTTTAAAAATATATTTTTTTTTTGTTTTACGGGTGTAATTTAAACGTTATAACTAAAGCATTTAAATATGAACTAAAAATCAAATAATATGCGCGATAGCACCACATAATCACCAATTTAGGAAAAAACTAGACATTTCTTCGGTAAACACAAGTGCAAGTAATGTGGCATACCTTGAGTCTGCATGAAAAAAAGCCAGCACTAGACAAAATCGCATTACTATTTGAAACATTTGTACTCTACGAGAGTCTACCATGATAAAAAACAAAGGCTATGAATTTTAACAACTTCTCCATTCAAAAATTAAATATTGCCATGTGTAGACATTATTACATAAGAAAAATTAAAGTTCCGTTAAAAATCTTAAGAGACATAAATCTCGAGCTAATTCGCATTCATTAAAAACAATAAATTACATAAGATATCAATTGGAAGTGAAAATTATACTATACAACATTAACATCATGTGGTATACCACATTACCTGCACTTTTTTAAAAATCACTTTTAATTGAATTTCAAATATTTGCTCAAATATCTCATAAATTGTTACAATAATATTATTTTTAAATTGATACATGGAAAGACAACATATGTAGCATGTTAAGTGTAAAATTTCAATTTAATAGGATAAAAAATAAAAATTTGGCAAAAAAATGGGTATACCACATTTGCATCACCTCCTATAATAGCACGGTCAGTATCAGCGTCTTGTAGAGTGTGAGTTTGGTCTGGCGGGAGGTGGCCTTGCTTTTCTACACACAGAAAAAAAAATCATTGTAAAATCAGGTTGATTCAACATTTTTTCCTAACGATTTTGCTTCGTTCATGTTGACTCAACATGATTTTAAAGTAAAATTAAAATAAACATTTTTCTCTTAAAAATAACACGAAATCATATTAATTTAACTGTGTTGTTCTAGTTGAACTAATGTGATTATAATTTTGAAATAACGTGAAATTCTTATTAACACGAATTCATGCTGAATTAATACGAATTTAATGTTGAGTCGGACGGGCCGACTATAGGATACCCTTCACCACTATGGGTATATTAAACAGCATTATTAACATGAAATTGGATGAAATAAAATATGTGATATTTATCTAAATGTGAATCGGACTAGATCTATCCATAAACATGTCATTCGTTTGGGACAAAAGTATGAAAATCGACTTCTAAAAAACGTAACTACGTTATTCTAGGCTCAATTTTGTACGTTGTGCAAAATTTGATGTCAATCTGACAAACATCACGAGTTTGATGTACAATTTACTTAAAATCGGACGAAAATATATATGGAAGCTATACCCAAATATGAAACGATTTCAACGAAACTTGCCAAAGGTTAAGTTATACTAATTTCGGTACGTTTAGTTCCTATCAACCATATATTGGTTTCTTGGTGCGTCAATTACTTCATATCAGCTATATCTAAATCTCAACCGATTTTTCGAAACTTGGCACACAAAATTCTGGACTAAATTCAGTACGTTATGCAACATAAGAACTTTGGCACATTATTTAAATTAAATCGGACGAAAAAATATATATCTAGATCTGAACCGATTTTCACGAAACTTGGCAGACATCGCTCTAGGCTCAATTCAATATGGCATGCCAAATTTCGTGCAAATGGGAAGATATATAGGGACTTTGGTGCACCATTTACATGAAATCGGACGAAACTATATATGGAAGCTATATCTAAATATGGGCCGATTTTCATGAAACTTGGCAGACAACATTCTAGGCTCAATTCAGTACGTTATGCCAAATTTCGTACATTTCGTACGAACGATATATAGGGACTTTGGTGCACCATTTACCTTAAATCGGTTGAAACTATATATGGGAGCTATATCTAAATCTGAACCGATTTTCTCGAAACTTGGCACACATCATTCTGGACCTAATTCAGTAATCTGTGCCAAATTTCATGCAAATCGAAAGATATAGATGGACTTTGGTGCCCCATTTACCTTAAATCGGACGAAACTATATATATGGGAGCTATATCTAAATCTGAACCGATTTTCTCGAAACTTGGCACACATCATTCTTCACCTAATTCAGTACGCTATGCCAAAACTTGTACAAATCGGAAGATTTTCAGGGACTTTTGTGCACCATTTACCAAAAATTGGGCGAAACTATATATGGGAGCTATATCTAAATCTGAACCGATTTTTCGAAACTTGGCACACATCATTCTGGACATAATTCAGTACGCTGTGCCGAAATTCGTGCAAATCGAAAGATTTTAAGAGTATTTTGTGCACCATTTACCAAAAATCGGACAAAAATGTATATGGGTGCTATATCTAAATCAGAACCGATTTTCCCAATTTCAATAGGGTTCGTCCTTGAGCCAAATAAATAAGCTGTACCAAATTTCAGTCAAATCGGATTAAAAATTCGACCTGTACTTTGTTTACAATTTAACATCAACAGACAGACGGACAGTATTCTATGCATATTCTCAAAAGTGTCTATCTCGTTTATTTTTGCCTGTTACAAACATATGCACAAAGACATAATACCCTGTACCACAGTGTGGTGAAGGGTATAATACAGGGCTGTCCACACTAATACATTCAAGTTTTGTGATCGTATTTGTTTCAAATAAAAAAAAAATCAAAAGTTCTGTTTCTTTGTCATAAACTGAGAGAAATTTTGTAAAAATATTATTTTAAAATTTTAAGGAAGAAAAATATGTTATATTCAATGCAAATATGGTTGTTGATGATACATTTTCCCATATATAGATATATTTGTTTCTTTTTCGCCCTCCCGCTATAGTATTGGTCACATCTTTCGACTTATTCAGAACTAATGTTTGCCGAAAATATCGAAAAGGAATGAATGACAATTTTGAAATTATTTTTGATTTTCAAAATTTTCTCTTTTATAATTGTATGTGTGAGCAATTTGACATACACCGACAGCCCATGGGACCTATTTTGGGCACTGCTGGTATAATAACATGAAGACATGATGAAATGATACGAAAACCGCATTGAATTGGAATTTCATGTTGAAATAACATTTGCTCATGTTGAAATGATATGTATATTATGGTTATTTATTTATTATTTTCTTTTGTAAAATTTAAGTTTTTATAAAGTTTATACAAATATTTGTTTCGTATACATATCATGGTATAATTATTACAAGGTAGGGCACAGCTATCAACTGATTACAATTTTTTCTCAAGGTGGCTTGTTCCATCAAATCAAAATACATATTTTGCGTATGTATGTGTATTGTTTAAATTGTTATTGTTATTATTTAAATAAATTCAAAATAAATTGAAATTTAATTGAAATGAAAATTATGCTTTTAACATGTTCGTCTGGAACTTTGTTATGGATGAAACAAACATTTGATGGTATTCCCTACTGGATTTTGGAAAGAAATCATAACCTTTCATTCATTTTTCGCGTTTTTAGTTTTGTATTGAAAAAATGTCAAATAAACACAAACATGTTGCGTATAGGAAGTGATGCAAATGTGGTATAGGTTGGTAATGTGGTATAGTCACTTTTTTTGTAAACTGAAAATTTTAGAATAACTGAAACATGTTTTATAGTTTGCTGTTCTCAAAAAAATAAGATAGCAATGATCTGTTTAATTTATTTAACTTACGTTGAGAATCAGTAGCAAAAATTAAATTTTTCATGAAATTGACTTTTTTCGGTTGAAGTGTAAAAATAATTTTTTGTTTTACAGATTTATTTTAATCTTTATTATGAAAGCATTAAAATAATCAGTAAGTACTAAAAATCAAATAATAAACGCGATTGCACCACATATTTACCAATTTAGAAAAAAAAACTAGACAATTTTTCGGGGAACACAAGTGCAGGTAATGTGGTATACCTTGAGTCTGTATGAAAAAAAGCCAGCACAAGACAAAATTTCATTACTATTTGAAACATTTGTCCTCTACGAGAGCCTACCATGAATCATAAGGAAGGGAAACAAAGGCCATGGGATTTAAACTACTTCTCCGTACGAAAATTAAATATTGCCATGTGTAGACATTATATAATAAAAATTAATGTTCCACTCAACGTATCCGTTAAAAATCTTAACAGACATAAATCTCGAGCTAATTCACATTCATTAAAAACAATAAATTGTATAAGATATCAATTGGTAGTGAAACATAACATCATGGTATACCACATTAACATCATGTGGTATACCACATTACCTTCACTTTTTTTAAAATCACTTTTAATGGAATTTCAAATATTTTCTCAAATATCTCTTAAATTGTTAGAATAATATTATTTTCAAATTTATACATGGAAAGACAACACAAAATTTCAATTTAATCGGTTAAAATATAAAAATTTGGCAATCTAAAAACAAATGGGTATACCACATTTGCATCACCTCCTATATATTTATTTTATTTTTGGCAGAAGAAGCCACACGTGCATAGTTGCTTTTTTGTTATTCACCTGAAGCTGCCCTACCTTGTATTATTGCACCATGATAAATATTATCATCATTAGTATGGAATAGATGTAGAGGAGGACTTGTAAATACATGGAGTTCTTTAACTTGTCTACAACGTACGAAATGTTCATAATGACCAATCGCGAAGGAATTCGTAATTTCTACCACACGACTTCAGTTCGCTTTGCTTTAATGAAAATATTCTTTTCTATTTGTCTTTAACTTCGTCCCATTTAGAAAAATCACTCTGCAAAAAATTATGTATTTTACAAAAAAGAAAAACTATGATTTGAAAGTTTACCTTATACAGCATAGAATTATCAATTGATGTTGATAAGGATAAAGCCGGCGATGGTGTTGTACTAACATTAGATTGAATTTATGACCAAGACACTTCTTTATTGGCAATCCTTTAGGACAAGGTATCGTCAGCAAATAATAAAATGAAAACACGATTAAAAAAATTACTTTCCTTTCTTTCATTTTTCTCCAACATAACAACATTTCCGGAAAGAAGCACGAATGCCTATTGGTGGAATCGCTCCCATTATGTACTCTTTAATATATATATATATGTTATGCTTTCAAATTAAATTTTAGCTCCTATGTAATTATTGAGAAATTTTGTTAATATATTATCAAAAATATGTTAAATATGTCTCAATATTTCCTCATTCAATAAATTAATAATTATCGTGAGCAAAATTTTGCACAATACTTGCCAAATTCATTTTATTAGTGTCGGCCTCAAACATAATTTTAAAGAATTAAATTCACTTAATGTTTGTATCACTTCACTTTTCCACGCGGTATACGCCTTTACACTCCAATAAATGCTAAACGAATGACATATTGGTTATATACACTAAAATAGCTGTATTTGTTCTTTTTTTTATAATTCAACATGATTTCATTTCATTTCAACATTGTTTCATGTTGTTTTAACAATCCACAACTTTAATTCAATCTTGTTCCAATTAACATTTACATTTCACAATATCAGTTTAATATGATTGAAATGTTGTTTCAACATGAGTCAATGTTATTTAATTGTTAAAATATTATATTATCAATGTTATAAAATATTATCAATGTTATTTAATTGTTAAAATGTTATCGTTTCATTTCAACATCAGTTACTATTAATGTTACTATTTTCTCAATGTTAATTTCACTATAGTAAATGTTATTTTAATTGGTCACAATGTTAATTTAACATTATTGAAATGTTGTTTCAACATGAGTCAATGTTATTACATTTCTAAAATAGAAAAATGTAAATTCAACATTAATAACTATTTATTCTACTATTGTCACAATGTTTATTTAACATGAAAAATTGTTATTTTTATTATAAAAATTCATCTATGGAAATTCAACATTGTCTACTGTTATTTTAACAATGAAAAATCTTAAAATAAATATGGGCAATATTATTTTAACGTGAAAATTTTAAAATCAACAATGTTTAATATTAAATCAACATGTTTTACTGTTGATTTTATATGAAACAACGTTAAAATAACATGTTTCTTAAAAAGATTACATCGATGTGAAATCAAAATGAGGTGGTTTACCTCACCAAATATCCAATAATAGGATATACATATATGCCAGTGAAACTCCTGTTTTGCGCTCTACAAAGGGAAGAGAGTTTAAAGAAAAGCATCCAAGATTGGACCTCTAGGAATTCTGTGTTCTGTGGTTCGTGGATAGTTTCATTTCCCATGTAATTATTACAAAGTCTCCTGTTGTTATATGAGAAAAATTAAGTAAACATTTCTATTTCATTTTATTATTATTATTATTCTTTTTAAACTTATTTTTAAGGCTTCAGTTACACAATTATGCTGTGAAGAAAGTCTTTATGTTGACGAATTTATAGATGTATGTCTGTATGTAAATAAGTAAAACTACTGCGCTTTTAAAGTCAATATTGGATTTTTTCTCTTACAATCTAACCCAATTTGGGTCAATTACAATAAACTGGGCGATTAGTTTAGTTTATCTGTGGCAGTAACAAAACATTTTTAAGGCATAGTCGTCGATGCAATACGACTGACTACTGTAGAGATTGATGCGGCTAATGGTGCCGGTTAAGGCCGTGCCGTAGTTTGTGTCCAGACGTACTGTAGACTCGAACAGACCGAGACCGGGTTTGGTTTGTAGGCGCAAAGTGATGTCGATGGTGTAGTCGCTTATGCCAAGCTCCTTGACGATTTTGTGGTGGGGTTGCGACACCGTGGCGTCCATTATTGAATTCAAATACAGCACTCGGCATTGCGGATGGTCTTTTAAACGGTCGTTGATTAGTTTAACAATATAACGAGCGGCCCTCTGGACCCTAGCATCGTTAGTAGGTAACTCCTGTCGCTGGTGACAGCTGCACCAGTGCGACGCAATTCCAGCATGCTCACAAGTCCGGTTAATGGGTATGGGCAGGAAGAGGCTGATGCTGCGCGGCAAGTTGGTGTCAGGATCATTAAGTTCGGCGGTGCGCATTTTAAGTCGATTCGCCTGGATTTGTCTCAGGTCCAACAGATCGAACATTGTGGCATGTAAATCGAAGGGTGTTGTCAAGCGTTTTGCATTCAATTCCATATTTGCCACAGCCTCGGGATACTTTTGTTTGAACCATGTCGGATACAGGGTAATAAGAAGGGGCAGACGTTCTTCCATCATGCCCTGATATGTTTTACGAAAAGATCCCCAGCGTATGCCATGGTCGCTCATCAGCAGCACAATGGTGCGATTTAGAACTCCACTTGTTTCAAATGCTCCCAGCAGTTGCTTAAGGTCTTCGTCGAGCAATATTGGCATATTAAATAGGTCGTGTGTCATTGTTACGGCCCAGAAGAAGGCGAAAAACTTTTCTCTGCTCATTAGCGGTAACAACTTTCGGATGTATTCGAATAACACATCGACGGTGCGTCGACCACCCATGCACAGAGCCACATTCACTGTTTTCTCGCTGGCCACATAACGTTCCATTTCGAGTAAAATAGGACGCAAGTAGAAATCGGTAGGCTTCCTCTTAAATCCGGACTGCTGTCGATTGAAGAGGCTCAAGTAGCCAACATCCTCGCCATAAATTGTCTTGAATCCTGCAGCCTTGAAACGCTTCCATATTAGAGAGCACTTGTCATAAACACTTAAATGACCCTTGGGTGGTCCCAAACAAGACAAGTCCAGTTCTTCGGCATCGAATCCCGTCAGTGTGGGGATCAAATTTGGATACGTGTTGTCGCCCACTTTATTGTAACCCCAAAATTCAATGTAGTTGAGTTTGCGATGTATGTACGATGCACTGGAATGCATCTGACGCAGAAAGTTCAGGTGCGATACGCTATCTATGCCCAGCATCATGACAGAAATTGGACTATCGCTCGGGTTTTCTTTGGTAATTTTGTGTGGTTTTCTGTCCTCAGTAGATGCGGACTTTTCATTCACTTCAATGAGATTCTCGATGGGCGCCTCTGAGTTTCCCATTACAACTGCCTCCATCTTTTTCTCCTCATTGTCATACAGAACAAAAAAATGAAAATCCTTGTAAATGCTCTGGAGCTGCTTGTTCCAACATTCCACCATGACATATTCCATATTGGACTTGAGAGTTACGCTTCCATTGAGGACTAACTGAAATGACACAGAATCCAAATATTTATTGCGCTGATCGTCGATACGCACCACCTCACTGTAATTGCAATTGATTTCGGCCAAATTGTTCACTTTGTATATGTCTTGCAACTCCTTCTCATTTACATTTAGTGCTAGGCTATTCGTGCCCATGGTGCGAAGTAAAGCTTTCCTGCAGGTGAAGTTTCTAGGTCTAAACATGAATTGTATTATATTGTCATCGGTTACGGGAAAGTAAGGCATCCGACATCCCGGCAGATCAATGAAGTACGCCTGAGTGATATTGTAGTCGGCATCGATGCGAGCGATGAACTCAAATCGATCTTTCAAATTAATTAGTTTGGTCTTCAAGTTGAAGTCAATAAAGATGTAGGAGAAGAAGCAAAGCAGCAGTATGACAAAAATAATTTTTTTGAAATGTTTTCGTTTTTTGGTCATGTTGTAATAGCGATAGTAGAACTGTAAATCTCTTTTGGTCATATAACGTGGATCCAGTAGATATTTTCCTCTGCAAAAAAAAAGTAAATTGCAAATGAAGGTAATGTAATAAAAAATACAACAACTTGTATTATAGGAACAAAATGTAGAGCCAGAAACAAATTCGAAAGCGCTACCTGAAGCCTTCGTCGTGCTTCACATGGCGCCTTTGAAACGTCATTATATGGGGTGGCTTTAACTTGTGGATTCTTAGACCGATGATAATAGAATAATGAAATAAGTCTATTGAGTTCTTTGCAGGTTCATAAGAACCGGTTTTTGTAGATAAGAACGCCCATCCTGTATTTTGGACCGTAATTTGGTGAGCAAATTTTCAATCAACGCAGTGGTCAGCACAAAGTCCCGACCTCAATCTTAGTGGTAAATCGTAAAGAGAGGGGGTTGGGCAATACAATTCAGCCCTACCAATTTAGACGAATTTTGGCAGCAAATCTTAGTTGATTGGAAAAATATTCGGAAATTTGTTGAAAGTATACCAAATTGCATAAAACGCACCTTTAAAAATATAAAACTTTTTTAAACGTGCAAACGTGAGTGCGTCTTTTTATACCCTTCGTCACACTGTGGTATAGGGTGTTATGTCTATGTGTATATGTTTGTAACATGCAAAAGGAAACGAGATAGAAACATGGTTCCCTTTCAAGCATATGCATAGAATTACTTTCTGCGTCGATTTATACCTTTCTGTCCCTCCGTCTATCCATGGTAAATTACAAACAATGTATAGATCGCGTTTATGATCCGAATGAGATGAAATTTAATATAACTCACTAATTTGGCCCAAGGACGAACCGTGTTGGAGAAATTCTTCGATTTTTTGCAAATGGAGCACTAAAGACCCGCACCCGTCTTAATGTAGCAGCAAAGGTGCGATTTAACACAACACGGAAACTCGACGTCGAAAAGCTACAAACACAACAGGTAGCCGAGGCCTACTCCGCTCAACTTACCCATCTGCTTGAAGAAAGCAAGCAAAGTCCCGATAATAGTATAGAAGCACAATGGCAAATAATTGCCTACTTCCTACAAACTGCAGCAAAAGCAACACTTGGGTACCAAAAACCACCACCAAGAAACCCATGGTACGATCAGGAGTATCGTAATGCTACTGATGTGAAAAACGCAGCGTATAGGGCAACCCTACAGACAGTAGCAAAACGTAACGTGATGGAGATTTATCGGGAGAAAAGGAGAGAGGAAAAACGTGTTTTCAAAAAAAAAAAAAAAAAAAATAAAAGAAACAACGAGAAAAAAGTGAGCGTGAGCAAATCGAGATGTACAGGAGTCAGAATGAAGTCCGAAATTTCTACAAACGAGTAAAACACCAAACCGAAGGCTTTGGTGCAGGCACATCCTCCTGTAGAGATGAATATGGAAACCTGGTGACAGATACAGACAGCGTGTTGAGGATCTGGAAGGAGCATTTTGAAAAGCTTCTGGTATCAAATATTGGCGGTGAAGAAGATGCCCCAGAACCAATAAGAGATAACAGTATAGAGTGTATACCACCAAAATGTTGTCAGAATAGCAATGTGTCCCGTGCACAAAAAGGAGACAATACGCATATAAAGTGCTATCCAGTGTGCTGTGTGAACGACTGAAGCCAATGGTCAATGACATCATTGGACCATACCTGGCAAATCCACCATTGACCAGATTTTAACTCTGCGCCAAATCCTGGAAAAGACCCACGAAAAACACATCGACACATACCAACTATTTGTCGACTATAAGGCCGCATTTTACAGTCCCGTCCGTTCAGAGGTGTTTAAAGCCATGTCTACGTTCGGCATTCCTGCAAAATTAATACGGCCATGCAGGATAGATTTAAGTGGCACAAGGTCAGCAGTTAAAGTAGGAAAGGATTTATCGGAGCCCTTCAATATCCAACGAGGATTCAGACAAGGTGACAGTTTGTCGTGTGATCTTTTTAACATCCTGATGAAAAAGGTCATACGAGACGCAAATGTGAACAGAAATGACACTCTGTACACCAAACAACACATGTTATTCGCCTACGCCGATGACATCGATATAATGGGTCGAACATTTCGAGCGGTAACAGCCACCTTTGAACAAATTGAAAAGGAGTCGGCCAAAGTGGGTCTTGCAGTAAAGCTGATGATATAAACGCGCAAGACGTCCAGTAGACTCGGACAAACTGTGGAACTTGAGAACTACAGCATCGAGGTAGTTAAAGGCTTTATATACCTTGGTACCGACATAAATAAAACGAATGACATCAGTTTCGAAATTCGGAGAAGGATTGTGATGGCCAACTGATGCTACTATGGTATAAGTAAGCAGTTTAGAAACAATTTATACGCGGACATCGACATAGTCAGTCGTATTGAGCTGGGGCGATTACGGTGGCCTATTGTGCGGATGAATGTGAATGCCCCAGGTCAAAAGGCATATAAAAACGAGCCTACTGATGGTTCCCATACGACCAATTTTTTGTAAATGGTGCACCATACTCCCAATGTTTGTCCAATAGAGAAGAAATTTTGAACTTCGCATCGTATTGAGTCTAGAATGAGTGTATTAAGTTTCGTTGAATTGGATTTGAATTTAGATACAGCTATATTTTCACCAAACTCCCAAGTTTTGTCCGATTGAAACGAAATTTGGAATACTGCACCGTGTTGATTTTTGAATGTCGTGTGTTAAGTTTTCTTTCAAATCGATTCAGATTTTATATTGCACCCATATACATATATTAGTCCGATTTTTAGTAAGTGACACTTTATTTATTTCTTTTTTAATTTACACAACATTTTACATTGTATATTGAATTGAGTCTAAATTGAAGAGTTGTTAGTTTTTAATCGACTCTGATTCAGATATAGCTCCCATATATGTTTTCATTCGTAACAAAAAAGTGTACGATTGCAATGATATATTTTTATACAAATGCTATATATTTTCGATCGATTTTATGAAATAAATGCTTAATACCCCATGCTGAACAGCCAATTTGTTACCCGAATTGGCTGTATTTTTGTTCTTATTGAGTATTAAATCTTCCTACTGAGAATTATCTATATCGATTCACTTTTTAGTATAGACTACATACAATGCTACCCACCATTATTCGGTATTTTGGGGAGTTTGTTACCCGAATTGGCTGTTTAGGGAGTTTGGGAACGTTTGTTACCCGAATTGACTGTAATATGGTAATTGGAATGCACATTGGGTAGCAAATCAAACTGCCCGTGGGGGGCGTCTTTCAAACAAATTGACTGTAATTTGATATTCAAGAATTTTTTTTACATTAATTTCCTCTGCAATTAGTAAACCTAATTTGATCGTTCTAGAATGGTACTACTAGATTTTATATTTTTAGAAAAAAATCGAAATATTATTATTTGACGTACGAATTTATTTAATGTTTCCCACCAATTTTATAAGGTTTAGAAATTGACTCTAACACACTTCAGTTATCTTTTCAATCAGCAAGATTAACGGATCACAAAGGCTGCTACCCAATAAATACAGAAGTTCATTTCATTTCCCTCAATTATTTTGAGTTGTCTTCATCTTTTTCTAGGGCTTGTTAATACCTTAGCATTTTCTTTTCGTTGTGTACACTTTACATTTATGCAGCAAAGTGTCATTGAGAATGTGGAACGCAGCCCTAGGGTGTTACATTAGACCCTAGGCGCTAAAACACCTACTGTCACATTCTCTGTGTCTTTAAAAACTTGCTACCAGATTTCTTATTTACAAAACATACGCTCAAACATTTTATTGTGTACGATGCTTCATTCATGTTCGGTTTCCGAAATAAGTGCCGGGGAAGGGAGAAAGGCCTAGGTCAAAACGATTTACATTCATACAAAATAAAAGGCACACAGGCCATTCAACCAACTGACGTAGTATACACACATACACTTGCACACGCTTACACAAACCGCTGGAATATTTGTGGTAAATATCTGCACCGGACAGACATTAAACCCATAAATGAGGAATCAATATTAGATCTCATATCTTTCGGATTATTCAGCACGTTTCTCATTCCATTACTGGGAAGTGGCTCTTGATAAAGAATCCTTTTACAAGCACAAAAGATAATCCTCTGAAGAAATATGCCACACAAACACAATCACACTTGTTTACATATTATTCGTTGCTGCACACACTTGCTCACACACACGCACGTACACATACATGCAATGTGTGAAATGCCATTGGAGTACACTTCCTGTGTCTCTACTCTTCCAGGTACACACTTACTCATAACTCAGATTGATTTCACTGGCGATTTTTGGTTTAGAATATTGCCGCATTTTTTTATTAGTTAAACGTTTTTAAATATATATTTTTTTTAATTATTTTTTTGCAGAGTTTACTTAAGCAAGGCTAAAAACAATCATATTTTACTGTGCGAAGGTTGTGCTTGGGAATGTGTAGTAATCAAAGGAAAATTCTCACTGACTATTGGTCCTGTTGTGTTTTGACAGATGCTGTAAAAAATTGACGCATGCGTCAAAATATCGAAAATTATTCAAGGGATGCTGAATGGATGCTGGCAACAACATAAGCCGTATCGGCGAGAGTAGCGTTAAATTCAAATTTGTAATTTCGAAATTGGTACCTGGGGTACTATTTTCAACACCCGTTGAAATAGTGAGCTGATATGAATAAGAGCGAATATTGAATCGGACTACTACCTTGCAGCCAAGGTTCGCACTCGTCTTAATATAGCAGCAAAGATGCGATCTAATGTAAAACGGAAATTCGACGTTGCCACATTCCCTACAAACTGCATCAAAAGCAACATTTGAGTACCAAAAACAACCTTCAAAAAATCCATGGTACGATCAGGAGTGTCGTAATGCTACTGATGTGAAAAACGCAGCGTATAGGGCAACCCTGCAGACAGTAAAAACACGTAGAAGTAACAAGAAAAACGTGAGCGTGAGCAAATCGAGATGTACAGGAGTTAGAATGAAGTCCGGAAATTGTACCTACGAGTAAAACCCCAACTGAGGCTTTGGTGCAGGCACATCTTCCTGTAGAGATGAAGATGCAAACCTGGCGACATATACAGATAGCGTGTTGAGGATCTGGAAGGAGCATTTTGAAAAGCTTCTGGTATCAAATATTGGCGGTGAAGAAGATGCCCCAGAACCAATAAGAGATAACAGTATAGAGTGTATACCACCAAAATGTTGTCAGAATAGCAGTGTGTCCCGTGCACAAAAAGGGAGACAATACGATATGTACAAACTATAGAGGAATTAGTCTCCTTCCCATAGCATATAAAGTGCTATACAGCGTACTGTGTGAACGACTGAAGTCAATGCGGCTTCAGATCTGACACATCCACCATTGACCAGATTTTCACTCTGCGTCAATCAGAGGTTTTTAAAGCCATGTCTGCGTTTGACATGCATGCAAAATTAATTCGGCTTTAACTGGCACAAGAACAGCCGTTAAAGTCGGAAAGGACCTCTCGGAGCCCATTAATAACGAACGAGGATTCAGAAATAGTGACAGTTTGTCGTGTGACATTTTTACATCCTGCTGGAAAAAGACATGCGATAGGCAAAGGTGAACGGAAATGGCACTCTGTACACCAAACAACACATGTTACTCGACTACGCCGATGGGTCGAACATTGAGAGAGGTAACAGTCACCTTTGAACAAATTGAGAAGAAGTCTGCCAATGTGGGTCTGGCAGTAAACGGCGAGAAGACCAAGCTGAAGACTCGGACCAACTGTGGAATTTGAGAACTACAGGTTCGGGGTAGTCAAAGATTTTATATACCTTGGTACCGACATAAATAAATCTATTGATATCAGTTTTAAAATTCGGAGAAGTAAGCAGTTTAGAAACAAGGACAGACCGAATTCAAACTCTACAAGACGCTGATCTGCTTGTCTACTTACGCAAGCAGATGAGGCATCTCTTGGAGTGTTTGAGAGAAAAACACGCCGTCAAAACATAAATTAGATGTGAACAAATTTCATTTCGGAGTTCGGGCTCCCCCTCTGGCATTTGATTACAATTTTTTCTGTATGCGTGTGTATTTTTTTTTTTTTTTGAAATTGATTCAAATTTTATTGAAATGAAAATTATGTTTTAAAGTACGTTTACATTGTACCGGATCTATTCCTTTGAATACATGAAAAATAAATCCTCATAAAGTAGGTTAACCCGGTAAAAAGTTCTAATTTAACTGCCGTATTACCGTGTTCGTCTCGGTGTAATTACTTTGTTATGGATGAAACAAACATTTCACGTTATACCCTACTGGACTATCTGAAGAAATCATAACATTTCATTAATTTTTCTCGTTTCTAGTTATGTGTTGAAAAAAATGTCACATACACACACAACCACTACATACTGTGTTGCTTTTTTGTTATTCACCTCCAGCTGTCCCACCTTGTATTCTTGTTCCATGGTGCCATCTGCTAACTTCTTCGCAATGTGTCTAACTTTTTAATTCAATATCAAGCGAATGGAATGTCCAATTTAATACAAACTGTGCACATCGTAATATTAAAAAAAATCCAGTTCGAAGATGAGGAATTTCGGTATGAAATTTTGTCAAAAAGAATATATAATATAACATGCGGACGGAATTTATGTGAATGGTGCACCAAACTCCAAGGTGAGTCCGATTGATGTAAAATTTTGCATAGATCACTAAATTAAGTACAAAATAGCGTATGTGAAGCTTTTGGAATCGGATTCAGATTTAGATATTGCTCCCATATATATTTTCGTCCGATTTTATGTAAATGGAGGATCAAAGTTTGTCAAATTGAGACAAAAATTAGCAAGGCGTCCTAAATTAAGTACAGGCATTTGTGAATTTTTTGAAATCAGTAGCTACTATATATATTTCGTCCGATTTTATGTAAATGGTGCACTAAACTTATAATTTTTGCCCGATAAAGACAAAATCTGAAATACCAGATTTAGATATAGCTCTCTTATATAATACCATACCGTATTGACTATATAATTATATGTTCTAAGTTTCGTAAGTCTGATTCCACAATAGTTCGCCCAAGTCGCAGTGTTTGACAGATTGAGAAAAAATTTTGCACAGCGTACTTAATTAAGTACATGTTGACGTATGTTAAGTCTTGTTGAAATCGGTTCAGATTAAGATATAGCTCTCATTATATATGTTCGATTGAGGAACAAATCGGTTAAGATTTAGATATAGCGCCCTTATAATTTTTCGTCCGATTTTAAGTACATGGTGCACCAAAGATCCAAAATATGGCTGATTGGCAAAACTTATAACCTATCCAAGTTTCTTTAAAATATTGATGTTTTTGTTGGGCTTTTTTGGTCAGGTATTTTTGGTGAAAATAAAACGGAAGTTTTTACTTCATATTTTACTCGACGTTTCGTTGGCTTTTTTTTCCTACATTTTCAAGGGCGGGTTCTTTATTAATTTTAGTTATTTTTCATTTTGTTTATTATTTACTTAAATTAAAAAAGGGATTCCACAACATGATTACAAATAAAATAACTAATTAGAACGATTCTTGGAAAATTTTGCACAAATTACTGAAATCCTTATAACCTATGGCAAATTTCGTGAAAATCGGTTCAGCTTTAGATATAGTTCCGATCTTATGTAAAAGGTGTACCAAAGAGTCAAAGTTGAAAAAGGGTATGTCTGTTAGGATACATCTGTTGAATATGCCCAAAGTGGTAAATGATATCATACAGTGGGCCCCGTCCGACTTTACTACTTTCCTTACTGATTTTATGTGGGTCAATATGATCCACAAAAATCCGATATTTTCAGCCATGTCACAGATTCCGATCGGAATGGTTTCAATTTCGTATTTCCATTCCGATCGTTTTTGTTTTACCTTCTCCAGATTCCGATCGACTTGATGAATTACGAAAACTTAAACTATATTCATTTTCTTAGTTTAATATTACTCTAATCAAAACAAAAACCATTGAAATTCATATAGTTGAAAACAATATAAAAAAGAATCAAAAAATATATTGAACTTTTTAAAAATTCTAAATGCATTAATTTTGATAAAAATTCAAATTCTTTTCTTTCAATTCCACATCAAAAGTGTTTTCCGTCCGAAAAAATTGCTTCCTGAAGAAGCTAAGTACGGAATTAATTCCACATTCGATCGGAATTCATTTCTGTGACATGCCTTTTTATTTGAACAATTTGGATATTTTCAAGATTTTCCCTGGTCGTGTACGAAATTTTGACTCAGCTGCCTTTTTCGACATAATGACAATTTGGCATTGCCCAGGGACAGATGTAATAACTATGCATTAGGTAATCATGTATGGAATATAATGGTTTGTTTGCTTGTTTGGAAATGTTAATGTTTTATTCGTGTTTAGCGAAATAACATTACCTTCAGCCATAACTCAGTCATCTGCAATCACACTTACATATATATTTCAAAGACATACCCAATTGTGATAGTAAATAAACACAATATGTGTGTGGATGTTGGAGAGGTCATTGGCCAGTAGTGTCAATTACACTGTTACATAAATTATTCATTAGACATGTGAAATGTACGTATGTATGTAGGTCTAGAATTTACTTTGATGTTAATTAAAACAATTTTGATAAAAATATTTTATAGGAGGAAAATATCTGAAAACACACTCCCACAACGAAATAAAATCAACATGAAATTCATGATTGGTTCTTCTTAGCATTGCTGTTGTAAAAAATTGCTTATGAATATAAAGCAACTTATATGAGAAACCAATGGTGTTATGTCCTAATGGCCGAACGTATTGTACACAAAATCACTAAGAAAGGTTGACAACAAATATTGGAGAGTTACATATATCAAATTGGAACAATTTGATATATGTAACAGGGATATTACGCCATCGGTGCAGATCTTTGGTCAAAATCGAATCGGATGTAAAGTAAGTACGTATTTGTGGAGCATATACATATATGGGAGATATGTATCTGCCAATGGAAAACAAATATGGAGGTTTAACTTTCATGAGTAACAATTTCAACATGGGCCCACTTTCTAATTTCGAAGCCTTCCTTAAGGAAAACTGTCAATATTTTATCTGTTCAATATGATAATGTATTAGCCAGATGAAATCCTAAAAGAAATCTTCTAAGATGATTAGGGTAGTAGGAACAACCGAACACCTCACATGAAAAAGTAAAAGCCATAAACAAAAAATTTATTTTTCAAATATTATACCGTTTGCGGTTCGTACGCTATGTCGAATGGTGTTTGATAGAAATGTTAATTATACGCACCAAAATACACAGCTAAAAAGTACTAAAACATTGTTGGTAAATCGAGAGGAGGAGAGAGAATATGCTCTTACATGCGGTAATGTTTTTCTATTCTTAGTGTTATTTTTTCTATGCTCATAGTTAGGCGATTCAACTCAGATATGTTACCGATTTTACGGATCGTTAAATTTTTTAGTCAGAATGCTAAGTTCTGCAGTGACTAAAGCGGTATGTTCTACTTACTTACTTAGCTGGCTTATGACAGAAAGTTTGTTCCATAAGCCGAGCTTAAAAAAAGATTTCTAGGCGCGTCGGTCTTGTGCGCATCTCATCCAATTTGAAAGACCATTTTCCGAAATGTTGTCTTCTACTTGATGTTTCCATCGGATTCGTGGCCCTCCCCTTCTGCGTGAACCATCACTTGGCTCGCTTTTATATGCCTTTTGAGCTGGGGCATCTTCATCCATTCTCAAAAGATGGTCTAGCCAATGTAGTCGCTGCAGCTCGATCCGTCCGGCGATATTCACCATCGACGCAGATCGGCCCATAGATCTTCCAAAGAATTTTTCTCTCAAACACTCCAAGAGCTATCTAATCTGCTTGTGCAAGTACCCATGCTTCAGATCCATACAACTGCACGGGTAATATCAGCGTCTTGTAGAGTGTGAGTTTGGTCTAGCGAGAGGTGGCCTTGCTTTGCGTTGACAAAAGTATCTGGACAATACTATTCTCCTCCGAATTTCAAAGCTGATGTTATTACTTTTTTTATGGCGGTACCGAGGTATATAAAATCGTTCACTATCTCGAAGCTGTAGTTTTCAAGTTCCACAGTTGGTTCGATTCTACTAGACGTCTTGCGCGTTCATACCATCAGCATGGTATTTTCGCCATTTAGTGCCAGTCCCACTTCGGCAGACTCCTTCTCAATTCGTTCAAACGTGGCTGCTACCGCTCGCAATGTTCGATCAATTATGTCGATGTCATCGGCGTAGGCGAGTAACATATGCTGTTTGGTGTACAGAGTGCCATTTCTGTTCACATTTGCACCTCGTTAGGTATGGAAGGGCTCCGAGAGGTCCTTAACTGCTGACATTGTGCCACTTAAAGTTATCCTATATAGCCATATTAATTTTTGCAGGAATGCCGAAGGCAGACATGGCTTTAAACACCTCTGAACGGATAGGGCTGTCGAATGCGGCTTTATATTCGACGAATAGGTGGAATGTGTCGATATGTTTTTCGTGTGTATTTTCCAGGATTTGGCGCACAGAGAAAATCTGGTCAATGGTGGATTTGCCAGGTCTCGAGCTGCATTGGTAATGTCATTGACCATTGGCTTCTGTCGTTCACACAGCACACTGGATAGCACTTTATATGCGATGGGAAGAAGACTAATTCCTCTATAGTTGGCACATATCGTCATGTCTCCTTCTTGTGCACGGTATACAGGATGCTGAGGTTCTAATCATTGGCTAGGTGGTATACACTCTATAACGTCATCTATTATTGCTTCTGGGGCATCCTCTTCACTGCTACTATTTGATACCAGAAGTGTTTCAAAATGCTCCTTCCAGATCCTCAACACACTGTCTGTATCTGTCACCAGATTTCCATCTTCATCTCTACAGGAGGATGTGCCTGCGCCAAAGCCTTCGATTTGGTGTTTTACTCGTTGGTAAAATTTCCGTACTTCATTCTGGCTCCTGTACATCTCGATTTGCTCACGTTTTCCTTTCTTCTTTTTTTTCTGAAAATACATTTCTCCTCTCTCCCGATAATTCTCCATCGCATTACGTGTTGCTACTGTCTGCAGGGTTGCCCAATACGCTGCGTTTTTCATATCAGTAGCATTACGATACTCCTGATCGTACCATGGGTTTCTTGGTGGTGGTTTTTGGTACCCAAGTGTTGCTTTTGCTGCAGTTTGTAGGAAGTGGGCAATTATTTGCCATTGTGCTTCTATATTATTATAGGGACAAGGGTGCTTTCGACAAGCAGTTGGGTAAGTTGAGCGGAGTAGGCCTCTGCTATCTGTTGTGTTTGCAGTTTTTTCGACGTTGAGTTTCCATGTTACATTAGATCCCACCTTTGCTGCTACATTAAGACGGGTGCTAACCTTGGCTGCCACAAGGTAATGGTCCGAATCGATATTCGCTCCTCGTATCGATCGAACTTCTAAAAAACTGGAAGAATGCCTTCCGTCTATCACAACATGATCAATTTTATTCCTTGTTGATTGATCAGGAGAACTCCAGGTGGTCTTGCGTATATCGAGATGCTTCAATCTGGTTCTGCTAACTAACATGTTTTGTGCTGCCGCGAAGTCAATCGACCTCATGCCGTTGTCGGATGTTTCTTAATGGAGGCTGAATTTTCAGACGGTGGGACCAAAATATATTCAGTTTCGATTTTTGCATTAAAATCTCCTAGCAGAATTTTAATGCCATGGCCAGGGCAGCGGTCATATGCAGTTTCTAGGCGCTCGTAAAAAATGTGTTTGGTCTGTTCATCTTTGCCTTCTGTCGGAGCATGGGCGTAAATAAGACTGATGTAGAAGAACTTCGCTTTTATACGGATTATAGCAATTCGCTCATCTACTGGAGTGAATCTGGAGACGAGGTCTTTTATTCTCTTATTAACCATATCGGCTTTAAACTTTTTGAGTACATCCGCCAAAGCGAAAACTGTGCCTGTTCTGCACAACGTGCGCACATTCCAAGTGCAGATTCGCAGATCGTGGACTTTTATACGTTTGCGGGGGTCGTCAACATTGGGGAGGTTTGGCTTTCTTTTTCGTTATTTTTTCATAGAACCCCAGGTGACACCGGGGGCAGTGTTCACAATTGAGATAAAAGAGGGACCAAGATAAGCCAGGGCTTCGCCATGTTAAAGCCAATCATAGCCGTTGCTTGGTATCTATCATCCCCTACATCATCCCGGTATGTTCTGCAGAGCCTTAAAAAGCTCATTAGAAAAGTCAACAAACAGTAAACACAGAATTTTTAACATTACAACTTTACCACATTTAGTACACTCGGCATATCTGGGTTAAGCATGTACACCTAAGTCTGTTTTTACACGGTAGATTGGTTCCAGAAGAAGCCGTGTTAAAAAAGACATTGATCTAAAAAATAAAGGGATTTCCCCTAAATTAGTGCTATTCACATTTGCTTTGACCAGTAAAAATTGTTTGCTAAAGGGGAATTCACTTAAATCTTTAAGCTAGTGTTCGCAAACTGTCGATACTATCGATGGTTTCAGACTTTTTTCTTTCATAAATACTATTTTGTGATATGAACATACTTCGCAAAAATTAAATTTGACAAAAAAAATTAAGTTCATAAAATTTCAAATCGTGCTAAATAAAGTAAAATCGTATAAAAATTAAAAATATTCAATTTTCAAAAAAAAAAAAAAAAAAAAAAAAAAATCGCATCGCATTTACTTTCCAAGTTCCATTATTTGCTCAAAGGATAGACCTTCGATTTTTTATTAATTGTACTAGGTATAAAAAACAGTTCATGTTTGTTCAAAATCTAGACATACAGAATAACTTGATAAGGACACACCACATAAGGAGACTTTTAAACATGCAGCAGGCTGACTTGACGTTAATGATCCGACACTCTTACATTAAATTTCAAATTTAAATATAAATTGCAAAGATAATATGTGTTAGTGTTGTTGTTACTGTTGTTGGGTCTTTCTTAATGATGACGTGCTTTTACATTTCCCACACGTCTTTAGGCGTTTCTATGACTACACCGAAATCTTGAATGTGGGATACACAAGCACAGTTAAAATAACTTCATATCTTGGTGCTGATGGCAAAGGTGTTAGTTAATCCGACATAACCACCAGTTGAATGTTGTGTCATTGTGGTAGTGTGATGGCTAGCTTAAGTGCTTCCATATGTATGTCGTCTATTTAAGAATGTAAATGAATGAGAGCAGCAAGGGGCGAGAGGAAGAAATATAAACAACAACGACAACCAAATGCGTGTCCTTTAATCTTGACCAATAATTACCAGGACACCATGGACGACATCATTGCTGAGGCATTCCTGCATTCATACACACATACATACGAACATACTCGTATATTGCAGGGACACATAGTGAACACATGCAGTGAGGTTGCTCGTAGCCTTAAAAAATTGCCAATATATCAACAAATGATTCCTTCAATCGAACAACATCGAACACACAAAATCCGGCAAAGTGATGAAAAAAGCATTTTTTTGTAGAGTCACTCTCAGAGGCAACGACGACGACAACAACAACATCAACTTAAGGACATGTATAAAAGACGGATTTATGGTGTTTAACATGGAAAAATAATTGAAAGTCATCAGTCGAAAATGCCAGACATTACTGGTAATGGCAGTTACATTTTCAAACTATAAAAGGAATAGCAGTCAGCTGTAACCAATTCAGTTGTCCGAATTCAATCATCGGTTCACAAACCCACTTCGAGTCGAAAACAATTGTCGAAGGCAATAGAATGGACCACCGAACTTATCTGTTAGCAGCATCGAGACGGAATTCATTTTCACACTATTGGAGTATATATCTGCTGTTGATAATAATTTTGCAACAAATTCGACCAGACGCCTGCAATCCTCACGAATCGTTAAGAAATTATTCAAAACGTCGTTTACATTCCAATGATGATAGGGATTTGCGTGATTTTAAAGAGGGCGAATCCTTGCCTGCCGATAAACGAACATTAACTTCGGCTACGGGCAATGGTGGCTCGATTAGCCAACCCGAAGAGATATTCAGTGTCAATGATCAGTTGGAATCGAATTATGATGAATATCCGGTAAGTGGAAAATGTGTGATTTGATTAAAATGGAGTCTTAGAATTGAAAACGTGATTAGTCTTAGAATTAAAAAACGCTGCCGACAATAATATTTTAATGAAAAAAAACACACACACACACAGAAATGTCGTTTCAAAACTCGAAAAAGCAACAAATCCGTTTTATATAGATATTTCAAATTAAGAAGTATAAAAACGTTAACTTCGTAGATGCAGATATTTATATAAATATATAAAACGCGGCTAGATCCTTATAGATACTAAAATCGGGCAGAAGCATGACATGGAATATATTTAAAAACACGAAAACATATTGAAATATTTCTGCCAAGAAGTCTTTTACCACTTGAAAACCAAACGTTATGAGAATCGCTATCGCAGTCACCTGCCGCCTGCAAAAATTCTAGTTTTAATCAAAAATGTTTTGATTCCAAAATTAAAATACATTTTGTGGCCCGAATTTTTTTCATAATCGTAGAACAATTTCTGTTCACAGATTTAATGCAACTATCCTAAATAGGATATGAACAAAATTTGATATCGCTACATCCTTGCATTCGGTAGACACAGTACATTATTTCTGAAAAATAAAAGTCCAATATCAAGTAAACCAAATGCAATCGACGAAAAAATCATTTTAAATTATTCTCTATATTCCGTTTACAAGAATCAAAAATAGCTCTTATGACAGAATTCGTACAATACGAATAATAAGCGATTTAAATAATTAGTACTGTACACATTTTTGCTTTTTGAAAAGCTCATAACTTTGCCAAAAATGTAATTTTTTTAGATTTTTTTGATATGACTTGACATATGAAATTCAAAGAATATATACCTACTAGCAGCATATTAAATATAAGCTCTAAAACATTTTGTTGACTGTGGGCAACATTGGACAACATTGGGCCACAAAGGGTTAACATCTTATAAAACAGTTCAAAATATTACTGTTGTAATTTAAAACATTTAAACAAATATATAAAATGGAAATATTTAGAATTTCAAATTGACGTCATATAAAGGGCATAATCATGGTATAATAATAGAAGGTAACAGCAAGTGTTGTTGTACAACAAACGATACAACAACCACATGGAAATTTTTGTTATAAGTTATACTAGTGTCAACGTCATTTGACAGAAAATTTTAAACAAACAAATGAATTATCAACAAATTATATATATTTTGAAAATGAAATATTTTCGATTCTTCAAAATAATATTTGAAAAACATGAATGAAAATCTATCAAACTTATATTTATATCGCTTCCACATATTTTCTATAATTGAGCCATTGCCACTTATATGTGTAACACATATGAAAATGCAGGGAATTGCGAGTTATTCCACGAAGAAAGATTTGCTTCCTCAAACTTTCCCAACAGGCATATTGAGTAAATTGAATACGAGAGCACTTTTAATAAAGAACAATTTCAAATTGTATGCGTTCCCAATTTTCCTTTTGGGTGATTTTTAAAAACATAATTTGTCAAATTCATACTGGCACTAGTATTACGTTGGAATCAAATCAGCTGGGGTTTCCTGTTACCTTGGGGCATAATTAGGATTTTATTTGACTAATTTGAATGAAAATATTTTTAATTACAGGGTCGTACCTAATTTATTGCGCTCCGTACAAAAATACTCTCCTTCTCATTTTTATAGGAATATAGGTTTGTTAAACGTTCGTATTACCCAAATACGCAAGGACTTTATTTGCATCTGTGCCAATTGAAAACGGCGAAAATGGATGAAAATATTTTCAATTTGATTTTCAATTGATTTAAAAATGTTTACATGTATAGAAAAATAATTTTTTCAATGACTGAAATTCTATTTTCAAAAAACAACAGATTTATATTTGTTTGTTTGTTAAACGTTCGTATTACCCAAATACGCAAGGACTTTATTTGCATCTGTGCCAATTGAAAACGGCGAAAATGGATGAAAATATTTTCAATTGATTTAAAAATGTTTACATGTATAGAAAAATAAATTTTTCAATGACTGAAATTCTATTTTCAAAAAACAACAAATTTATTTATATTTTTATACGCAATGCGTATTTGGGTAACATTCATTGAAATACATGTATTTGAGGTGAACAAATTACGACCCACAAATGGGATCTTAAGCCTTTGTGGCCAAATGTTTTAGAACTTAGATTTAATATACAGCTAGTAGATATATAGCGATGTCAAATTTTGTGCATATCCTATTTAGGATAGTTGCATTAAATCTATGAACAGACATTTTTTCTAAGATTGCGGAAAAAATTGACATGTTCCGACCATCATGATGGACATGTTCCGACCTTCATGATGGAATAAAATTGTGTTTATGAGCGGTATGTTTTTGTACTTTTTCTTATTGCTAAAAAAATTAAGGTATGTACAAAAGTACCCAATGTCAATGTATGGCAGTTTTGTCAATGTTGAAATGTTCAATTTTATATTTTGATACACAAAGCGTATTTTGTGTAAGTCCTGATTTACATTATGCAATTTTAATAGTCTCAATTCTGTATTTTGTTGATGAGAGAGTGGAGGGAAATGACAAACCTTCGTTCCTCTCTCCCACAAACTGACAATTGCCGCACGTAAAATCGCCTAATATAATTTTTTTATAACATTCATTGAAATACCTGTATTCAAGGTACAATAATAAAATGTAGGATAATTTGAGATGAATAAACACAACTCTGTAGATAGTGGTCTCTTCTGAAACAAATATACGCTATAGGTTGTGTTGCGAAAAATGAATAAACATTTATGATTTCAACAAAATATGAATTTTGATTTTATAGAACGGATTGAGAAGAAATTGTAACCAGTTGGTACCTATGCCCTACCCTGTAATAATAATACCATGCATGAAATTGGGTACGAGACATTCCATTCCGAGTCAGTCCATATTTTTTTATTTACATTCAAAACTTTGTGCAATGTTTTGATTTTTCCCTGTCCCACTGATACATAATTTATATTTTCCTTGTTTGTAATTGAATACCATCAAATTGATTTATTTTTTACATTCATTGTGAACTTGGCCAATGGCAATTGAAAAATTGTTGTAGTATATTTGATATTTATTATTATATATATATTTTTTTTGGAAAAATTAAACAAAAAAGCGGCAACAATAACATTTACTACGAAAGTTTGTCTTTTATAACTTTTAATGCATTCATTGTTAGAAAGTTATGCTCCAGGGTGTTTCGATTTGTAATTGAGAATACTTCAGTCCTTTTTATTCGTATTACTTTTGTTGTTGCTTAGTTTTGCGCAATGACGTACAGCGACCCACACACAATTTATGCAAATAAAAGTTTTGTAAAGCTTCCATCAAACGGAAAACATACGAATTTACAGATGTATATATATATATATATAGATATGAACGTACATATATCTATTGCATAAAGGTGGACATGCCAATTTCGTCGATTGCTCAGCTTGTACATTTGATTTCATTTATGCAACCTACGAACATATATATATATATATATAAATTGTTTCTAAGGTGGATAGAAAAATACTTTTTTGATATATTAGTCTGCAGTTATGCAGTACCTACAACTTTGAAAGCGTTTTTTCTCGAAATAATTTTCTATGTTATGGTCGAAGATATAACTCGAACAAATCTTCATCGATTCCTTTGACATTTTGACAATAATACCGTTCTTCGAGGACGTACGTGAATTTGTAATACATTCCACCATAAGGTGGAGTCTTTGTTAAATTGGCCATTTCGTTTGTAACAGAATAAAATTCTCTGTGGATGAAACTATGTCTATCTGTCCGTTCGTCTGTTAAAATCAAAAAATATATACGCAAATTTTTTTTTTTTAAAATAAAAAAAAATAATGTATGGAAAAAATTGACCCAATTTTTGCTTGGTCAAAACTGAAGAAACTTTTTGATTTATTTTTCTTTTAAGGGGACCCCCATTCTCAGTTAATTTGACTTTTTTCGAAATTTCAACTAAAAATTTCAAGAACTCTTGAAGATATAGCCGATTTATTGTGTCAGCATCAAGTGACGGCAAGAGTGATTCTAAAACTTTAAACGCATTTTTCTCGAAGCAGTGTTTTTGCGCATGGCAGGCACGATAACTCAAAACTAATAATCCAGTCGGTCCAAATTTTGGCACATTTCTCTGGGAGTGTATATATCGTATAATTTTTAACTTAGTTCGGGGACAAAAAAAAATCAAAAGTTAATTTTTGAGGGATTCAGATGTTCCAGCTATCAAAAATAAGGACTTTTCATTAATCACAAAAAAAAAAAAAAAAAAAAAAAAAAACAACCAAATTTTGCAAATAATTTTCCCCTCTACTTTAAACCTTAAAATTTAAATTTAATTAAAGTCTTGAAAATAGTATAGTCATTATTCATGATTACGGCAGCACACTTACGAGCCATTGAAATTATAAGATGCTCAATATGATGCTTCGGTATAATATACGTTTGTTTTTACCGATTCTAACTGAACCAACCACAAGATAGAGGGATATTTTTAAAAAATTTCTGTGAAAAGATACCCTACCTTGTATTATTGTACTATGAGAAGAACATACAACACTTGTTAAAGAATGAATTCTATTGTATCCCTAAAATAGGCACTTATATTCCATTTTACTAATGTTCAACATTTCACGTATTTTATAGATGGTGGTGCCAAAACGAGCCGCCTTATTACTGGATCGGTTAATGGTAGCTTTGCATCATGCTCTGGAAAAAGAACACAGTGGCAGCTCTCGCTTGAGCGATTTCTATAACAAATACAACGACGGCAAGAATCCATCTGCATTGGATAAGGACAAAACCATAGCTGACGATGATATTCCCGAGGCATCTGATAAAGGTGAAAGCAATCCAAAACCAAACAAAAAACTATTTTCGGATATCGTTTTTTTTTCTTTTTGTATTTCCCTCACTAGAATATTATTTACCCTTCTGCCTTGTCTCCATTACAGATGTACCCTATTTCACCATGTACAGTGATGATGATCCATCCGTTATGATGGACTACGACTTCAAAGATCTGAATTCGATCAATCGTGCCACCGGTGAAACTGTAAGTTGGATTATTAAAGCTTAGTTGCATTAGAGACTTTTCGGCAAGAGTAAGAAAATTTCAGTTAATGGCACAGAGCTTTCAGAGAAGAGCAAACTTGGGCTTGGATTTGGGTGGTGATATGGGTATGGATGGTGTCTCATCACTGCTGAGCGCATCGTCGTCGGGACATGGTGGCGGTGGTCTCATAAGTGGCGTGAACAGTGCTGACATTGCTGGTGTTGGCGGTGGTGGTCGCACCAACTTCGGCACCAACGGTCGCATGTATTGGCGTTGTTATTTTAATGCAGTCAGTTGTTTCTAAGCCCTCTCCCCCACCACAAGCACCCCCTACAAATAAGACAAACTCAGTGTGGACTTGTACATGTATTTATCTTCTCCTCCCTCATTCCGCCGCCGAACATAAATCAAACCTAAAAAAATCAACTCTAAGTCGTCCCAATAAATTTTAACTTGCATTTTGATAAAACGTACAAATCATTTTATCATTGTATGTGTGTGTGTGTGCGTCTGTGTGAATGTTCAATTATGTACTACTTACATCACAAATTAATTAACAATAATAAATTAAATTTGATTTATTAACCAGTCTTTTTGTGTCTTTTTTATCGCTGATTTACGATGACTGATTGGCGCCAAAACTAAATGCAAAAAAAAAGATCCATGATTTAGTTTCCGAACATTGTATAAAAATAGATGATAGGAAACCTGATAAAAAAGCACATCATAACCTTGAAGTAAACTGGTGAATTTTGTGAACGGAATGAATATGAAAATTCGAAGGACAAAGCCGGTCGATACGCTACTTTGGGTATTCCTAATATTCGTATTATAGCATATATATATGCTACACAATTTTCAGGAATATAATTTTAGGAAAAATGTACAAAACATCAAGAAAATGTACTGCAAGAAGGGCAATAAAGCAGAGGAAGGGGGACTGATGACAACGCTATTTGGTTTTAAAATCTATATAGCTGATTTCCTACGATAAGGCTTTCTATTATGTATTTTCAATATTTTGAAGTTTTTAACCTCCTGTTCAAACAGAAGGAACTAATTCGCCTTCCGGATTCCGGTTAAACATAGATTTAGGTTTTACAAAGCCCACGTATAAATATCCCGCCCGTTTTATATATTTTCAAAGTTTTTTTTTTACCGCGATTTCTAACATTTTCCAAAAAGTTTGTAATTTTTCATGAACAAAAAAACTTCTTGGCGAACATTTTTTTAATTTCAAAGGTATTTTTATTTTCATGGTCTTAGGTGATTTTTCAACCAAAGTGTCTAACATTTTCGTATTCGCGGTCAGTACAGAATTACTTGGTTAAAAATATCTACTATATGAACATGAGCCTGTAATTTTCTTTTCTCAGAGGGATAAAGCCTTTGCAGACAATCCCGATCGATTATAGCTATTTTCGAACCAATGTTACTTAATGTGGGCTTCCATGTTATGAAATATAATCTTTGTAGAATATTTTAATTGTAGGGTGATTTTTTGTTTTTTAAGGGTTCCGTTTTTAGGTATTTCTAAAAACGGAACCCTTAAATATATAGGTCCATTTTTTCGGATAGCCCCCATATAAGGGTACCCCCAATTTTCGGTATTTTGGGGTTCTTGAGCGCGTTTTTCTACCGAATTCGCTGCAATTTTGTATTTTGTAGTCGTATATGGTAACAAATCTCCCCACCAAAAATATTAATATTTGCCCCCATTTTGGGGTAGTCCCCATATTACCCCCTTTTTTATATTAAAATAGTTACCTAATTTGTTCCGCGGTTAGGGTTTTGGTTCTAAGACTCTGTTGTAATCATTTCACCTGCGAAGGATATCGAGATAAAAAACTAGAACATAGGGTTCGATAATGAACTATATGTGACCTATAACCCGCATTTAGGCCTAGGCCCTGTGTGGGAGGTACCAGAAGGAGTGGACCGATATTTTCCATCTTCGAACTTGAACTAAGTTTGGAAGAAATAATAATATGGGCAAAGTTTGGACGAAATCAAATTTTTCTGAAACAAATTTGACCCAAAGAAACATGGGGTCTAGAACCAATATTTCGATGAGGCACATTTTCAGAGTGTCAAAGTGTATACACCTTCATTAGCCACAAGGCTGAAGGTTTAATTATCCATTAAAAATTTCTGAAATTTGTATTATGGTTTACATAATCCGTTTTTAGAAATGTCGGTATAGGTCCACTTCTTGGTATGTTCCCTATATTTTCATTTCTAGTATCTGTCAGTATATACATGGTGGAGGGTATCCAAAGTTCGGCCCTGCCGAACTTAACGCTTTTTCACTTGTTTCTTATTTAGCCCGTTCCCGTACTGCAAGCTTCTGGTAACAAATTATTGAAAACATGGCCCGGACGAACTATTCATACCCTCCACAATGAGGATGACAATCAAAATATCTAAAATAAATTGGGGCTCCTAGGAGAAAACTCATGTTATGATAGGACCTTAAACATACCGAAAAGTACGTGAGAAAAAGTGGGCTACCGTTATATGGGGCTATAATAAAACGGAGATCGATATTGATATTTTTTGGTAGTGAGATTTGATAGCCAATGAAAATACCAAATTACATCCAATTCGGTTGAAAAACATGTCCAAAATCCCTAGAATAGCGAATATTTGGGGGTTTCGTTATATGGGGAATACCCTGAAGCCTGGGTTAATATGTATTATCCATTAAGTATTGTGTTATTCAATGGGAACCTTAAATACAAAATCACAGCCAATTTGGTTGGAAAACGTGTCCAAAATTCATGTTGGAATTGTGTAAAATTGAATATGCTTTACAAAAATAGTCCCCATTATATTTGACTGAAGACATGTTATCTAAAAAATTAGCTGCAATTGCCGCAAACAATGATGTAAAGCTCTTTCTTCATGAAGTTTAGACTACGTTTAGATTTACGAAATCCACTCGATCTCAAATGTCAATTCCATATCATATACGTAAAATATAATGCACTGGATTTAAACCCATGATTAAGGTGACGTATAGGCTATGGAATTGAAGTTTGAGATCGAGTGGATTTAGTAGACTAGAGGAAGTGATGCAAATGTGGTATAGGTTGGTGGTTGGTAATGTGGTATAGTCACTTTTTTTGTAAACTGAAAATTTTAGAATAACTGAAATATGTTCTATAGTTAGCTGTTCTCAAAAAAATAATATAGCAATGATCTGTTTAATTTATTTAATTCACGTTGAGAATCAGTAGCAATAATTAAATTTTTCATGAAATTGACTTTTTTCGGTTGAAGTTTAAAAATAATTTTTATTTAATATATAATATTTTTATTTAATATATAATATTTTTATTTAATATATAATATTTGTTAATACGTGTGTGTAGCGATTCAAAATTTACATAGTTGACAATAATAAAAGAAATTGGTTAATTTTTTACACATAAAACGGCATATATTAGAACTTTTTACAGGGTTAACCTACTTTATGAGGACTTATTTGACATATATGCAAAGGAATTGACAATTGAAACCTACTGGGTTAACGAAATCCGGTTAAATGTAAACGTACTATAAAAGTCATTTTAGATAGACTTTTACTAAAATGTTTAAATTTGTCTGATCTTTTGACAACTGAAATATATTAATGAAAGCCTTCTAAATTGATTCCAATAAGTCTCAAATTGCGATTTGTTGCGTTTTTCATGATATATCAGTTTTTTGTAGGGAACTTCAGAATAAAAAACAATACAATTTTCGATATTTGGTTTGATGAAAGAAACAAAAGCAAAGAAACATATTGTTGTTTACAAAGTCCCCGCAAGTAAAGTTGGCAATAACAACAATATGGACGAAAAATACGTCAAATTAAAAAAGGGAATTAGGTTATTTTGCACGGTCCATCTTGATAAATAATGGACCAAATGAAATATAACTTTTCCGCGAAAAAAATACACTCGAATTTTTATTACAAAATAAATAACATGACTCGTAAACCGCAAATAGGTTATCGAAGGAAAGATTATAATAAAAAATCTAAAACATGGAGAAGAGGAAATGGCGGGCTTGAGTTCCCCTTAGAATATAAACTACCAAAAATTTACTTTTTTCAGCATTGATTAAAAATTAAAAAGTGACATATGAAAAAAATTTTGTTCATTATATTCAGTGTTTGCTATAATTGTGTTCGACTGTAATAAGCATGGTTTTATCGCACTTTTACATATTAACAACTTTAAAGAGTGTCTGCAAAAACATACAACATTGTAATAATTTTTCCTTAAAAAATCTAATCGCGAGGTCGAAATTTTTATAACTTACTACCCTAATCGCTTTCAACCGTTTGTTATGTTTAAGAAAATATCTGAGAAAGAATTAGCTTAGTTCGTTATATGTGTAGTTGCTTATAACCGTTGTTCGTTATATCCGGTTTCTACTGTGGAAATCTGCGTTTTCCCCTTCTTGTACATATAAATCATTTAAAAAGTCAAAAAATCGTTTAAAACCGCTGTTATTAATTTTTGCCTCAAAAACAGGGCAAATTACCTATAGTGCAATGGAGGTAGAATTTTTGAAATTAAAAAAAAGGTTCCAAAACAGAAATGTTTTTCTTTCCAAAATGACAAAATGTAAAATGTAATTTTTACATTTTATGTCAATAATTTTTCATTTTACACAAATTTTATTCTAATATGTGATGATAATGGAGGGACGAAAAACATCAAACGGTAGCGGAATTATTGAACTGGTGTCTATTAACATTACTGATAATAACATAATAGGACAAAAAATTATGAGTAGAAAATTTCTGATTTGGACCAATTTTTACTTCCTGGCCATTTAAGATTGGATGAGTAGTTATCTGAGTATCATACATACTATTATGAATAGACTTGTTCATTATATTCAGATATGGGCATAGAAAATGAATATTAGTTTGGAGGTATGATTACGGTTGGTGCCATAACTCTTGGTCATCGCGAAATATTGGACGTTTATTTGGCCTATCTTACTTCCGTGGGATGACATGACTGACTGCGAAAATTTCAGCAAAGTCCATTCAGCGATTTTTGTGTCTACAATCAATGTTTTTCATTTTTGTATGTATAGACATATTAAATTCAATGGGGAGTAAATTCCCCCATTGTAACGCGACAATTTTTATAGGGATGTTGCTTATTTGTAATAAATTTACCCAGACAAATTTTGAAGTGAGAATGTGTATCCCTTCTTAAGATATAAGCATGGAATATCTATGTTATTTCAGATTTTTGATTACTTTTGATGCTATAACTTCACATCCACGCGGAATTTTAT